AACAGAACATTTGCATAAAATATCAAGCAGAAATTCTTGACCGTTGTGCCTACGTCGTTCAAAGGGAAATTATTTGAGTTAAGGAACATGAATGTATGCAAATTTAAAAAAATACAACAAATTACAAGTAACAATTGTATGTAAGAGAGGTGTATGGTGCGAGGAGGTGGGGATATTAAAAACCATGGTAAAAATTAAGGAAAAAAAATAAGCTTAGTGAAATATTTAAATGATTTCATTTAAAAGGACACTTGCATTACAAATTTGATGCATGGATTGCTATTTGATTTTGAACATGTTTTGGGTTTAAATAATGAAAATATCAAATTTCTAAAATTTTAAGAAATTGTAAATTTTTATTTTTGTCGTTCCTTATTAATCTTTCATCACTTGTAGGACAATATTGAAAAAAAAATTAGAACAAATTAAACTATCGGACTAAAACTTATTCATTTTACTTAGAGAAACATATTCAACATGTATATATTTAGTATCTATTTTCATATTTTTTTTCTTCAAAGTTTGTTTGTAGCAAATGGACTAAAGATTTGGTTGAAGATTCGCAATTTCTTTAAATTAATTATTTTGGATTTACTATGCTTTGAAAATCAACTTGAATGTAAAATGAAAATATTTTAAATACAAATAAAGAAATGCACAAATTCTTAAATGACAGACGGATTAAAAGGATCAGAATTTGTGACTTACAATCAAGAAAATGTCAAAAGACATTTTAGTGAAAGTTCGTAGTTCTGATTTTAATAAAATTAAGTTTGGACTTTTGAAAAAATAAGTAATGTTTGAATAACGAGTTAGAGCGACGATGGTGATAAGTATAAAAGAATTTTTGTAATCAGTTCTGGTGTATTTCTCTTCAATAACAAATGTGGGGTCAAATATCATTTCTTGGAAGCAACAATGAGAGAGTGTACAAGCTTGCTTTAAAATATACAGTTATAATAGCAGAGAGAGAGAGAGAGAGAGAGGAATCAATTTTGATGTTTCATGTATTTTTCAAAGCAGTTTTTTTTTCTTTCAGGTTAATGTTTAATATGAAGTAAAATACAAGACTTACTTAAAAATTTATACTTATTGAGATTTTGAAAATTATTGTGAAGTAAATAAAAAATTAGAGCTAATAATTTGTTCTACACTTCTCTACAGATATCTGATAAATACTTGTCTTACGTTCAAATTTAATGTCCTTTTTTTAATCATGATCGAAAGTGTAACTGTACAATTTAACCTTTCAAATTGACAGAATAACTAAACGTTCGCACATATTGGCAGTGTTAGATTAGTGATAGAAACTCAGTAATATTTTTTTAAATTCAAATCTAAATTACTGAGATTTTCAAATACTTCAGAATGTGCATCTGTATAACACGGGACATTTCGTTAGTCAATGTGAAATGAAAAATTGATCTCTTTTTATCAACCTAAAGGCTTTTGTAGTGTACAAGCTTGCTTTAAAATGTACAGTTATAATAGCTGGGTGAGACTCAACAAAACACATACACATGCACACGAGAGAGAGAGAGAGAGAGAGAGAGAGAGAGAGAGAGAGAGAGAGGGTTATGGATGTTGATATTGTCTGTATATTACATAAGAATGATCAGTTTCAGGTGAAACACTGGAATCACAGAAGAAATTTATACATGTACTTAATTATGTTAAAAGTTTTGAAAAACATTTTGAAAACTAATGTGTATCTCCATTGTATGGATCTATATCTAAGTAATATTTTTTTAAATTCAAATCTAAATTACTGAGATTTTCAAATACTTCAGAATGTGCATCTGTATTTTATACCCGCACTTTCTAACGAAAGTTCGTGTTTCTTGTTGTTATCCTGGTCCGTCCGTCCAACCATCTGTCACACTACAGTATATTCCTCCTAAAATTACTCTCATATTTTAGGAATTAATCAATCATCTTTTGGAAAATGGTTGGTGTTGCTTTGAATATGTGCAATTTATTTTTTATTTTTTTTGGTAATTTTTTCAATTTCATCCTGGGGTGCAAATGGGGGCAAAATACGATGTTTTTCTACAAAAACCTGGTTTCGTGAACTCCTCTTACATTTTTGGTTGTAGCCAAATCATCTTTTGGAAAATGATTGGAGGTTTCTTGTAGACTAGCTATAAGCTTCAGAATTTAGTTTTCACAGTGGGGGCCAAAATGTTTTTTCTACAAAAAAAAATGTTCCCTGAACTCCTCTTACATTTTCACAGCAGCCCTTCATATTTTGGAATATGTTTGGGAGTGTCCTGTAAATGTGCAATAAATTTTCGGAATTTCGATTTGCCCTGGGGTACTACTAGGGTTCAAAAATCGACGGTTTTTTTTCCAACAAAGATCTGATTCCGTTAACTCTTCTTACATTTTCAGTAGCCGAAACATCTTTTGGAAAATGATTGGAGGTCCTGTAGATGTGCAATAAGGTTTTGAAATTTCGATTTTTATCGTGGGGGTCAAATGGTGGTCAAAAAGACTCAAGACGACTTGTTCATTTTCTTTTTCATTATATATATTTTCACGTTATCTTCTATTAACAAGACAATGTTAATGTTCGACTTACATTTTCTCTGTTTCCCAAAAGTTATTTTCACTTTTCAGGGAAAATTTCTGTGTTTAAGATACATGTAGACAAGAAAGTCGTAAATTCTGATGTACATGTGTACGTTCAAAAGATAAACACATCATCTTCAAAGACTCCACTGAGAGCGTACATGTATAATTTTACGTGTAAAATATTGATGGAATTATCCATTAAAATTTTCAAATTTTGTAACTTCTAGTAAAATATATGAGCACATGTAAATCAGAACTTTTTTATTATTATTTTTGGAATATTTTTTAAAATTACTGCTGTAGACCGTATGTTAGTTACTTTGTTGTGCTTAGAAAATGAAAGGAATACATAAATAATGCAAAAAGAGACTGTTTTGAAAAACATGTCATTTCCATTCATAACACATCTAATAAAAAAAAAAACAGCTCAATACTGTAAATGCAAAAGATCATTTAATATTATCTACATCATTTCCATAAGATATTGTAAAACAAATGTAATGTATAAACATGGTAAATGAATAACTCAAGAAACAATTTAATTATTGGCAGTGTAGCCAAAACTGCGTACAACATTCATGAAATTAAGTGGGAACAAGTTAATGCGTTAAATTTACAATTTGAACATGTTTTAAAACTGAAATTTTTTGCAACCATTTGATATCTTTAATGTAAAGTAACCAAGTTTTCAACTATTTAGTATATAGATATTATCATAATTACGAAGGTTGTCCCAAATTTCATAGACAAGCATTTTGTGGTAAACCATATATATTAATACAAGAATGTATCCATTTCAAATTTATCAGGGTGACCTAAATAAAACTTTGGAATCACAGACTTCTAAGTTTTAAGATGACTAATGATCAGCTTGATCAGAGTCACTTTTCATAAGCTAATTCATCAATGGATCACAGTTATGCTTTTGGATTCCCTGAGTTAACTTAGTAAATGATAAAATAATTGATTTAAAAAAATGCAATGAAATACATATTAGTGTACAAAGCACAAGAACAAAGAAAACATGATTTGTTTATGAAACACTGATACCCCCTCATGGCAGCTTAAGGTGAAGGTTAAAGTTTCTCAAATGCAAGTCAAACTTTAAGGTCCAGAGATCAAAAATGTTGTTACCCAAAGAAAGGACTTGTGTCAATGGATGTACCTGGTAAATATGAAGCCGAAGCACCAACCATTCAAAAGTTATGGTCAAGGTTAATGTTTTCTAAAAGTGGGTCAATTCCAAGGTCAAGGTCAAAGGTCAAAATTAATATTAAGCAGGGGAAGACCTTATCATAAGAAATACACATGCAAAATATGAAAGCCCCAGCACCAACTGTCAAAAGTTATGACAAAAGTAGGTCAAACTCCAAGGTCAAGGTCAAAATTGCTGGTATCCAAAGGAAGGTCTTGTCACAAGGAATATATCTGTGAAGTTTGAAAGCCCTAGTGCTAATGGCTCAAAAGTTATGGCCAAGGTTAAATTTTTAAAAAGTGGGTCAATCTCTAAGGTCAAGGTCAAAAATATTTACACCCATGAAAAAAGTTTGTCTCGATGAATACACAATTGAAATATGAAAGCCCTAGCACCAACTGTTGGAAAATATGGACAAGGTTTAAGTTGGGTAAATTTTTACAAAAGTGGATCAAACTCCAAAGTCTAGGTCAAGAGGTCAAACTTGTTGGTACCCCTAAAAAAGTCTTGTCACAAGGAATACACATGTGAAGTATAAAAGCCATAGCTCTAACCAATCAAAAGTTATGGGCAATGTTAAAGTTTTTGCAGACAGACAGGGCAAAAACTATATACTACCAAATCTTTGATTATGGGGGCATAAGAATAACGCATTCTAAATAATGTTTCAACTACACTTTCTGTTGAAAAACCTGAATCATTCAAGTGCTTTTTAGTACAACAGGTTCACAGTTAAGAAGACTGTACCTTAATCATTGCTAATGTACGAGTACAAACAAGAATATTCTCTGACAATGTAAAATATCAATAACAAAAGAAATAGTCAACAAATGAGTGCTTTACAATGACATGATTAGAGCAGAGACTCTTTACACTTTAATTTGAATGAAAATTAAAACAAAAAGAACTAAGATTTTTAAGAAAATAACATTATAGTTACATGTATATAAAGGCCATTTTTAAAAAAAATTCTTTAAAAATCCTTCTGCAACCTCTTAATTGCTTTCTTTTTCATTTTCATAAAACTATACAAAAATTGACCTCATTTCCTGAAGATTTTAGCCTTCAAAGTAACTAAGATAATTTTGTGTGTGTGTTGGGGGGGGGGGTGTTCTTTCTTCTAAGGAAAAATCAGACCTACATTGTATGAAATGTGAAAAACAATAGAAATTTTCACAGTAGAGTATCCAGAAAGAAACTACATGTATCTGTCTCTGTAAATATAAAAAATAAACTTTAAGCCACATAAACTTCATTTTTAGATTTTTATCTCAATTTGCTAAAATAAAAAAAACCTACATGGTGTCAGGTGGGTGAATTTAATTTCTAGTATAATTTTAACATATATTGGTACATCACATTCACATGAATGTTAATATACCTGGTAAGTGCCACACTTTTTTTATCCTAATTTGCACAATATAATTCATGTTTAGGTTCTGATTTTTTTTAATACCAACTTTTCAAAGAAAATTTCTATGCTATATCAACAGCTAAAGAATTTATTCATGGAAAAAAAGGTGAAGGAACAGGTCTCCCTCATTTCAACCAAAGTCAAACATTCTAAAAAGTATATGGTATTATAAATAATAATCTATGTTTCTGTTTGTGGAACTTGATCAGCTTGTGCCTCTAGGAATCTTTGACAGCATCTGAGACATTTTGCATACACCTCTTCAAAAACTTCAAACTGTGACTGAAAATTCACAGAAAAAAGGATGTTACTAATATGTGAATTACATAATATATTGCAGTAATTATAGGCCATAATGGTGCTAGTAATTTAAAAGTTGATAAAAGTACTTATATTTCAAAAGTAAAATGTTAAAAATTTCATTTTTCAATTATAAATAATACAATTACAAGAAAAACTTTGCTGATAAACTATTAACAAACTGGTGAAGTGTGATAATTCCTTGTTTCCTAAAACAACTGAACAAGAACTTTAGATAAAAATACTGACCATGTAAGGATCATAAATTTCTGGATCCTCTCCTGGAATTTCATACTGTCCCAGTAACTGAAGTCTGGCAGAATAATTTGGTGGTGCTTTTCTTTTAAGACTTCTGATATTCAGATAATGTCAAAATGAGATACATGGTATATAATGAACTTTTATGACATCAATGTTCATTAATCAGTAATTAATTAATGTATATGTATTGGCTTACCTAATGTTGTACAAGTCCATTCCAAGAATAAATTTAAATTTCATAAAATCAGCTTCTGTTATCTGTAAGTTAATAAATTAAAGTACATGTTATTGTACATGTATTATTTGATGCATGATAGCTATAATTTAAGTTTTAGTCAAAGGTAGAATCATCATATGACAGTCTGAACTTCTCAGATTAGTAAAACTTTAACACATGAAAAACAAATATTTAGATTCCATACATATATTTTTTCTCTTTAAAGTGTATGGAAAGCTTCAGCATTCAAAACACTTTAACATGGATGCGGAGGTCAAAAGGTTATGTATATAAATTATGATTTTTATTTTGACATTACAGACATTGAACGCTGTGCAAATGCAATATCATTAAGAGAAAATAAAAATCAATCACACACTGAATTAGACTGAAATATATATCTTCAATAGTTCACAGGAATCACTTTCTCTTCTTCGGATAATACAATAAACCAACCTATCAAACAGCTTTGGATAACTTGATGAACTTTACTGTGAATACTTTCTTTTAAGCAGGACCTTATGCACAATTTTCTGAGTGTATTGTGATGCCCACCCATCCGACTGTAATTACATCAGGGACGTAGCATTGTTTTTGAAAGGGGGGGGGCAGCCAGAGAAAAAAAAAATTCAACTTACCTGAAAAAAACTTGACAAGCAAAAAAAAAAAAAAAAAGGAAAATTGTCCAAACTTGAAATTCCTATTTTGTGGGGGTTGGGGGTTGGGGGTTCCAACTTCTTTCAGTACCAAATTTTATTCATACACTACTACAAAACCCCTATTTGATTATTCTACAACAAAAAGTGGGGGGATAACCGACCTTTCAATTAACATTTCAAATGGTAAAAAATAATCTCTGGAAAAAAGTGGGGGGCCAGGCCCCCCTGTTGCTATGTGCCTGTACATGTAATTTAGTGTTCATCTACTAGCATTTATTGAGTTATGTAGAGTAACTCCACTTTCTGACTGAATGACTGCACTATATGTTTGTAACTGGCTGCAAGGTTTCATACCTGTCTAGCTGTGTGATGGTATCCATCCATTATATTGTTTCTCTTTAACATTTCTATTGTAAATTCATCTGGGGGTTTACCTTCATGCCAGTTTTCAATGCCAGCACTATCAATGTCCCACTGTAAAAAGTTTGAACCTAATATGAGCAAGTTTCATACTACAGTATCTTGCAGTAGCATAGTTAAATTTTCTTGGTTCATGATATTTAATTACAATAGGTAAATATAATACATATACCTAAATTCATACAATTTGTATCTCAATTTTTATAAAATTTATTCACACGCATAAATTTTATATATGAATGTATAAATATTTATTTTTAACCCCCCCCCCCCCCCATGTACTTGTCTGAGACTACTTGTGTATCTTGATTATTGAAATAATTGTATAGCTGACTTACTTTGTCTTGGAGTCCTTTTGATTTCACTAAATGACGAAAAATACCCTCTGACATCGTGGATCGACAGGTATTTCCTGAAATTCATTTTGAGCCATTTGAACAATAATCATGACCTTTTCAGTCAAATTTTTTACCATAGAGTTGCAAATTAAATATTTGCAATTAAATCCCCCCTCCAAAAAAAAAAAAAAAAAAAAAATTGATGAGAAATTTTCTATTATGTGACAAAAAGACCTCCATGCTGTGTTTTAAGAATTTAATTTTTTGTTATTTCATTGATCATGTTGATATAACAGTAAGTGTCCACTTTTTGGTGGGTATGAGACTGATTGACATGTGAGCATATACACAGCACAGAGTTGAACTTCAGTATCTCAATCACTGATACTCGAATACCATGGATAAGTCAAAGTGAGTTGGAAGTCCCAATCACTTTTCCTTCATGTATTTTAATCCAGATACATGTATCTTGAATCCTTGGATATCTCAAAGATTTTTCTCAGTCCCATTGAGTTTGACATAAGGAGGTTTGACTGTATATATAAGAATAACATGCTTCCATGATCTTGTACTAAAAATTAACACTTTTATTAGGGGACAACAATTTTAGGAGAATTGGGGGGGGGGGGGGGGTGTAAAAATAAATAATCTGTCCTCAAAAGTGTTGAATATAAATAATCTGTCCTCAACTGGCAAGAAAATAAATAAGTTCTCATTCTGTCCTTGTCTAGCCCCCCCCCCCCCCCCCCCCACACACACACACACAGACACACAGAAGATAAGAGATTTTTTTTTATCTTGCAAACTTTTTTCATTGAAGAAGAAAAATGTTCTTTATCATTTTCATAATAATTAATCTGTCTTTGAATGGCATGAAAATATATAATCTGACTCAAAACAAAACAAAAACAAAAAAAATTGCCCCCCCCCTCTTCTCAGAATTAAAAGAAGACAGAATATTCTATTGTTAAAGTGATAATGTTCTAGCCTGTCCCGAGACACACACTGACTCGATTATTCTAACTAAATCAAATGGCTGTCCCCTTATTTTATTACCATAAAGCTCACAGAAACTATAACCCTAATTAAAATTATCTATCTGTATCTCTGGTCAGGTCTTCAGCTGAAAAAATAAAACTTTTTAATCACCCTTTCCGATTCTAACTGGTCTCTAGGGGAAGTAAGGTCCATCTCTTCGAATTAAAATATAATGATAGTACGAACCACATCTGATCGATGTACAGTGAGTAAACAGACTGGTAAATGACAACCAAGATAGGACATAAAGAAATAGTTCAGGATGCATTCATGAACGTACTTTGATATTCCAGCTTTTTGCTGGTGTTGCTGTCATTTTAAAGCATATACATATGTAAATATTTATGTATTAATTAAATCAGATGATTCACAATATCTATAGCTATAACTACATAGAGATTGTCATTAGTCAAAATTACTTTACCTAAACACACAAACAGAACGGAAAATGGTTTCTCCATTGGTAAGGTAATTAAAATTAAAACGTTGTTTTAAGTCACAATACTATTCAACTAGTCATAGGATATTTCACTTTTCAGACATTTCTTCTTTCACTTTCCTTTCTGCTTATGATCAATGTCAATCATATGCTTACACTTTTTTGTCCGATACTTAAACGTTTGCGAGATGCCATTTATGTCAGCTTAATCGTAATGGCGTCTGCATTCGGTCACTTTGGCCGTCGATCACTTAAAATCTCTTCTTGTTTACGAAAGATTTTGCAGTATGATCCATATAACATTGTTCATCGGTCAGCATATGAATTCAAGTTATTTCATTTGAATCGGGAACTGGAAGGTACATAAGTATTGCAATCTGACAATGATAACTTGTAAATTCATGTTCGAATTTCCTCATTTCTAAGCCTGTAAATAGCCTAGGCCTACATGTAACAATAGACGACTTTCACATTTCAAAAAAATATTTCTCTTTGCAGGGTCGGTCTTGGGCAAATCGGTGTATTAACCCACTGTTTTCGCTTTATAATATTGCAAACTTTAGGGGATATGTTCATTATATTTTCTTTGATGCCCCATAGTATTTTCTTGGCCCCATCGAGTTCAAGATAACGAGGTTTGTCTGTAGTGAGAAAAATTATCATTACGCAAAGAAAGAGAGATAACTTTTTTGAATGTGAAAGTTGTCTATTGGAATATGGGTGGTTACATTCCGATTATGTGTTCGCCCCGAGTGGTTACGATCCAAATACATGTTCACACAAATCACATATTTTTAATCATGAAGATAGTGTTAACTATATGATATTTATAATTATTTCGCATTTAAAGTGTGTGCCAAAAACTTTTTACAGCACTTGCCCAATTGGGCTAATGATGGCTAAATTTTGCTATCCTGGCCAAATCAATTTTTAATAGATGGAAATTTACCAGTGCACTTCAACTGGGATTCAAAAATCATCAAAAAAGTTTCTTATATTCAATCAAATTTATTTTATCAGATAATTTTTTTTATCACATATTTTATTATCAATACTGAAATTTAAAAATAGATTATATACAACACTGAAAATTCCACTAGTTTGATCAGGCTAGTGTTAACCTACGTCATTTTACTATAACGACCAAATTTTTTACTAGTGTTCAGGCAACATGCTAGTCCTTTTGGTGCACAATGAAATGTGGTCCCTGGCTCAATATATATCTGAATGACTGAAATGAGTGTGGTTGCACTTCTATCACTCAATGAAGCATCTTTTGGTTTCTTGCTCAATACATGTACCACAGAATATCCAGACACCATCAACTCTTTTTCCACAATACTTCCACTTACTGAATTTGCCCTTGCCAGTTACTTGGCCTACCAATTTTCTGGTTATCCTGCTGCAAAATACAAAAGCATGCCTCTCTAACAAAATTTCTCCAATCCACTATTGTAAACTGTATATTTGCAGTCATTTTCACAACTTGTTCCAGTAACAGGTGTGATTTTTAAAACCATGTTCCTTCCCTTACAGAAATTTTCTTACTGCAGTTGGTGCACCTCCATACACGAACTTCACTGTACCAATCATTTTCAACAAGATGAAATTATCCTTCTCCACAAATGTTGCACACAATACAAAAATCTCCTAATAACCCCTTAGTTTGAAGCCAATCAATTAAAAATATTCTATTTTTGCAAACTTCATAAATATCTTCATTAGACAAAAGGCATAGTAAAAATTGTGTAAAATCATCTGTTTGGTATTTACTTTGAATTATGTAACTTACCTATTACCCAATCAGGAGGCAAACCCCGTATCACTTGACTAGCAAAGAGGTTATTATGCCCCTGTAAACGAAGATTCAATTACATTTTGATTGGTTGGAGCTGTGGCTTTCATACTTTACATGTATATTCCTTGTGACAAGACCTTCCTTTGAATACCAACAATTTTGGCATTGACCTTGACCTTGGAGTTTGACTTACTTTTAAAAAATTAAACCTTGGCCATAACATTTGAACATTTGGTTCTAATGCTTTCACATTTCATGAAGTTGAACATGTGTATCACTTGTGAAAAGACCTTCCCTTGGGCACCATTTGACCTTGATCTTGACCTTGACGTTTTACTTACTTTTAAAGAACTTTAACCTTCGCCATAAGTTTTCAATGGTTGGTGCTAGGGCTTTCATATTTCACAGCTATATTCCTCGAGACAAGACCTTTCTTTGGGTACCAACATTTTTTATCTCTTGACCTGGAGTTAGACTTGCATTTGAGAAACTTTAACCTTTGCCATAAGCTGCGATACAGGGGCATCAGTGTTTCACAAACACATCTTGTTTTTGCACTTTATTTCTGTTTCAATGAAATTGTGCTGGTGACATGTTTCTCTATTATATAGGAAGAGCATGTGCTATTTCCATGTAATTTGTACATACCTGTAAAGTGCAGTTGTCTTCTTTTATTTTGCACTGTAATTTGTGAATTTATATCCCTTTGGGATATTATAGCCTATTTGGGCCCCAACCTGTAGAATGGTGAGTTATGTGCAGTAGAGGTTATGTATTTATCAAAATACAAATCATTAGTTGGTTAGCATTCACAGTTTCATGTACCTGTCTACCTGAAATTTCCCTTGTCATATTTATATGACAAAAGTATTGAATCATAGACCATTGTTAACATCACTTAATTATAATTCAGCTTCCATTCCAATACAAATGCCAGCTTTGTCACCAACAATGACAGAGGGAACAATAGTTAAATGGCACAAAAAAGAAGGTAAATAAATATAGTTCACAGCTATAATTATGTGAAAATTAAGACAAGGAATTTTTATTTAAGAAATAAATCCATATCTACCTGTATATAGATCATTGATAAATATAATTATTTCATGTGAAGGTGACACTATATCCCCCGGTGATGTGTTGTGTGATATTCAAACTGACAAGGCTGTAGTATCACTGGATACAGAAGAGGAAGGAACACTGGCAAAAATATTGGTAATTAACTATATCACTCTTCATGGAATCTAATTCCATGCTGAAATATGTACACATGTATATTTGTTGTGTTTTTGTTGTTTTTTTTTGCGTGTGTTTTTTTTTATTGGGGGGGGGGGGGTATTGTATGAATCAAAAATATTTACATTTGAATTAAAAATAGTAAATAATACTATTTAATCAGAAACCAGAGAACACAAAGGATGTCAAGATTGGCTCTTTGATTGCTGTGATGGTGGAGGAAGGAGATGACTGGCAAAATGCTGAGATTCCAGAATCATCAGATTCCTCATCAGAATCATCACAATCCTCTGAATCTTCACAATCATCATCATCCTCTGATACAGAGTCAATAAGGGAACCTACTGCAAGGTACAATACATTGATCTCTCGCAATGAACTAATTTGAAATTGTAACTTCTGATCTATTATATATGGCGAAAACTCAATTGCGTGTGAGCTACAATAATGAAGTGAGAAGTGTAACTTCTGGTCAAAGTCACACTCCAAAACCTTGAATGGATAGGAATATGTCAACAACACATGAATTATGTTTTCCAGAAATACACACACACATCTTGTTTCTTTATGGTGACATTTAATATGTTGAAATTGAAAAAAGAAAAGTTTGCTATTAAATTATTTAGCTCAACTACACTTGATGTTATCTCTTCCTGCTTAGTTTTAAAAATTTAGTAACGTTACACTTCAATCTATATAACTGTATTTCAGTGATGTAATTTTTTTTCCGAAGGATTCGCATGAGCCCTGCAGCCAGAAAACTTTTAGAAGAATATAATATTTCTAGTCCACAAGTGGTTCCTCCTTCAGGACCTCATGGAATGATCAACAAAGGGTAAGTAGCTCAAATAGCATTAGTAATTAACTTTCATGTATGAAGAGCTAGGTACATAAGTATGCAAATCAAATTACAGTTAAACTTCGGTATCTCTAACAAGGATATCTTGAATACCCTGAATAAGTCAAAGTAATTTGGAAGTCCCAGCCACTTATTCTAAGTATTTTACCCTCGATATCTTGAATCCTCAGATATCGCGAAGTTTTTTCTCGGTCCCATCAGGTTCGAGATAACAATGTTTGACTGTATGTTGATATAATTTCTAAATTCATTCATCATCTTAAAGGAATATACAAAAACTTTTGAACGTCTAGAGTACTTTAATGGATGTCTTGAAATATTATTGTAATTTGAATTTCTTAAAGGGTATAGACGTGATATTGAAGCTTATGGTATATCCATCAAAACTTTCCATAAACTTGTTGCCAGAATGTTTCAGACTGATCATGCTGATATACACATATTATAAAACTGCGTTTAGAAACTTTTATTTTATCTGAAAATTATCATTTTTGGTGTGTTTTTTAGTTCACCTGAGCTGAAAGCTCAAGTGAGCTTTTCTGATCACCCGTTGTCCGTCCGTCTGTAAACTTTTCACATTTTCAACTTCTTCTCAAGAACCACTGGGCCAATTTTAACCAAACTTATTACAAAGCATCCTTGGGTAAAGGGGAGTTTAAATTATTAAAATGAAGGGCCAAGTCTCCTTCAAAAGGGAGATAATCAAGAAAATACAAAAATTGGGTGGGGTCATTAAAAAATCTTCTTCTCAAGAACCACTGGGCCTGAAAAGCTGAACTTATGTGGAAGCATCCTGGAGTAGTGTAGATTCTAAATTGTTCAAATGATGACCCCCTGGGGTAGGGCGGGGCAACAATAGGGAATCCCAAGTTTTACATTGAAATATGTAGTAAAAATCTTTAAAAATCTTCTTCTTAAGAACCACTGGGCCAGAAAGGCTGAAACTTATGTGGAAGCATTCTGGGGTAGTGTAGATTCTAAATTGTTCAAATCATGACCCCCAGAGGTAGGGTGGGCCACAATAGGGAATCCAAGTTTTACATTGAAATATGCAGAAAAATCTTTCAAAATCTTCTTCTTAAGAACCACTGGGCCAGAAAGGCTGAAACTTATGTGGAAGCATCCTGGGATAGTGTAGATTCTAAATTGTTCAAAGCATGACCCCTGGGAGTAGGGCGGGCCACAATAAGTACTACAAGGGGAGGGGGGGGGGAGAGAAATCAAGTGAAAAACAGCAAGGCCAAAGTTAATCAGGTGAGCGTTGTGGCCCATGGGCCTCTTGTTTGTCATACATGTACATCTTTGTACTTTACATGTAAATCAGTATTCTTTACACAGTCATACAGTCTTGTAATATGGTGAATATAGAAGTAGTTCTTGACTGCAGCCACATAAAATTTGGTAAATTTAAAGCAGGAAAAAAAATCAGTTTTTAAAGATTTTAAGCAACTGTTACTTTTTACAAGATTCAAACAAATTGTATGTTCTATTGAATCAAATAAATAAAATATTTTGTGAATTAAAAGTGATTTGAGTTGACCAGTCTTTTGAATAGAGAATTAAATTCTGTGAAAATATAAGGCATGTAAAATGGGTCACAATCTACAGTGTAGCTTTCTGTGATTTTCTCAAGATCATTGACTAATAGCAGTGTCTGATGAAATATTTCCTCAGCAAATGAAGCTTAGCAAAAAAAGTAATATATCTTTTATGGACAAAGGAATATTTTTTGCAATATTTTGAATGCTGTATTTTTCTATTTTCAGAGATGTTCTAAAATATGCTCAATCTAAGAATTTATCAAAAATTGATTTGGCAAAAGTAAAGGCAGCCCAGCCATCAGCTCCTTCACAAAAGCCAGCTCCTCCTACACAGGCAGCTCCTCCACTGACCAAGGCACCTCCTACCATAACAGTGTCACCTGAAGGTGGCTACCAGGACATAGAAACCACCAACATGAGGAGAGTGATAGCCAAGCGACTTACGGAATCAAAGGTAAGTTTTACTTCTTTTTATATGCCCGTCTTTAGACGGGACGTATTATGTTATGGCGTTCATGTCCGTCTGTCTGTCTGTCTGTTAGCTTTTCTCGTGTCCAGCTCATAACTTTAATACTATTAGGCCTAGGATTATCAAACTTTGTCAGCTGATACTTCTTGGGTAGAAGGTGTGTCGCACACTAAAAGTAGGTCGCTCTGACCTTTAATTAAGATGCTATGGCCAAATATGGAAAAATCCTGTCCGGCTCATAACTAGAAAACTATTAGACTTAGAATCATCAAACTTGGCCAAAAGGTGTGTCGCGACCTATTTCAAGGTCACTGTGACCTTTAATTTAAGTGAAATTTAAAAATAAAACTGTCTTTTTACTATTAGATTACACAATCCCAAAAAATGCAAGAGTGTTGCAGTATCCTTATTAAAAATATGTTAAATCAGGAAAATACTTATTTTTTCATTATATACTTTACAGCAATCTATAACAAATGTAATGTTACAAGAGAAATTCCACCTCTCCCATGGGTGTAATTATTAAGCACTGGTCAAGGAGAATTTGAAAACAGAAAATTGCATGTCAAATTAGAGAAAAATTAATGTGTTAAGTGTGAGGAGCTAACTGGTAGAGCATCTCTGATCAAGCAGGTGTTATCTATATCTCTTGGGAACTGGGTAAAAAGAATCAGCCCAAATAGTTGGCTAGCCTAACTTTGAAAATGAATTTGTTGAAAAGTAATTAAAACTTATTTGATATTGTATAATAAATTAATTTGTAAAATAAACTAATTGATATTGTTTAATATAATTAAAACTAATTATACTTGGGGGGGGGGGGGGATTGGAATCGGCATGCCTGTTGTCTGTATGAATTGCAGCTTAAAACCAGTCTGACATTAAATCTAAAAATAATCAAGTATTTAAAAAAAAATGTTTTAATTATGGTAGATAGTCCTTACAAATCTAAGAGTAATGCAGGAATCTTATTAAAAATATTGCATCAAGATTACACAATTTTTTTTTCATTTTATAAATGTTTGTAACAAATTAAAAAAAGTCTTTGTTTTCAAATTTAATATCAGAATGACATAAATATGCATTTTTATTGCACTACAAAGCAGATAGTATGTATAGATCCATTCATCCGTTGGGAGTAATGAGTGGACATGCATCCAGTTAAAGATTAATTAATGAGTTCAGTGTAGGAAGGCTAGCTGTCTCAATCATTTCTGTTAGAGGATCTCTGATCAAGCAGCTCTTATCTGTATCCTTTGGGAATTAGACAGAAGAACTGCTTGTCAGTTTATAGCATATGTCATTTGATGGCCAGCCTTTTATTTTTGATATTAATTTCATATAGATTAAGTTGTTACGACTAAATTGATATTGTTTAATATGATATTTTTAATTAATTTTTTGAAAATATCAACAAATTCAGAGCATCATGTCTCACAAATCTGAAAGCTGGAAGGGGGGGGGGGGGGGGGCTGCAGATGGGCATTTGTCAAGCTCTAACACAACCAGTTGAAGATCTGTAATGTAATATTTGTTATAATTAATGCCTACACCACAGGAGATGTATAAACAAACATGAGGAATGCAAAAATCATTGAAATCCTTGTATCAAGGTTGACATGATTTTTTTGCACTCTAAACTGTTTATGACAATTGAACAACATTTGACGGGCGTATCATGCTGTGGCGGGGCACTTTATTTTTCAGTAGGTCAGTTCTTGTATAGGATTGCTTTATCATGGCAACAATATGGGATTTTTTTTAATTGTAGACAATGATACCTCATTCCTATATATCTATTGAGTGTAATGTGGATGCTGCTATGAAGCTGAGGAAAAAGTTTATTGGTAAATATCAGGGTATTTACAAGTACAAATCTTGTTTGACATTGAAACATATCCGAGCTAATATTTATAAGATGGAATAGTTTTGTAAGATGTTGTTGGTCTGAAATACATTCAAAATTCTTTTGAGCCCTAAAAACTATATAATTAAATTAAGACATTTAATACTTTTTGCAACTCTTTCAATTTTTTTCTAGTTTACCTGCAAGTTTTGAAGATAATCTATTTTATCACTATTTTTCACATTTCTGATACTTTTATTCTGAAGTTTACCTTGCATAACAAGCATTCTGTTTTTTTAAGACTCTGGAACTAAAGTATCAATGAATGATATCATTGTGAAAGCAGCAGGCTATTCATTACAGGTAGGTTAAACTTGTCTTTATTATGTGTATGAGTAGTTTAGCATTGATTTTAGTAAGTCATACTGGTATCCTCTTTACTATAAAATGGGTAGAAATTGACACTATTAAACATGTAAAAAAATTTCCCCATTTCTTATTGTGTAAGATAGGGAATAGGAATAATTGACAATTTCATTTTTTTTTTTTGAACTAAAGGAAATCTGCAAAGATTGAATAGCTGTTGTCTTTTTAAATGATACATTTTCTTATTTCCAACAGAGAGTGCCTAAAGTGAACTCTCACTGGACACAGGAGAGTGTACAAGTCCAGCCCTCTGTGGACATTTCTGTAGCTGTAGCCACGGACAATGGACTCATAACTCCTATCGTCAGAGACGTCTCCAGCATCAGTATATCTCAGATATCAAACACTACCAAGGTTTAATTTATATGAACTTTAGTTATAACTTGATCATTCTTATTCTATCATGAAGCATCATGAAGAAAGTGGCAATTTCACAGAACATGCTTTTGATTCAGTATCATGAACATGTACCTGTACAATATCTTCTCATAACTCTTTGATATAATATAAGTAGATGAAGTATCTAAATTTGGAAAAAGTATGAACTGTGTAATGTGGTAGCTACATGTGAATTTATTGGACTCCTTTTTATCAAAGCTTATCTGTTACATTAGGCACTTGCAGTCAAAGCCAGAGAGGGTAAATTACAACCACAGGAATTTCAGGGAGGGTCATTCACGTAAGTTATCTAACTTAATCTACAGTTCACATCTGATGATTGACATTTTTATGGAAAATTTCTTTATTAACTGTCATTTTTTTTCTTTCATCGTGGTCTTCGCACTTTAATTAAATTGTCATTTGTATTGAGATGGCACTTTATTCTAAAAATTCAGGATCTCCAACCTTGGTATGTTTGGAATAGGAGAATTTTCGGCCATCATTAACCCTCCCCAAACTGCTGTGCTAGCTGTAGGAACATCAGTGTTAAAACCCTCCACTGAGGGAAAACCACACCCATATCTAACTGTTCAAATGTCATATGACAGTCGTGCAATAGATGAGAGCGAGGCTGCCGAGTTCTTAGAGAAATTTCAGAGTGTTATGGAAAACCCTTCCCTGCTTATGGTTTGAAAGTGATTTATCAATTTTACATACCTTTATAATATGTATACTAATGCTATTTAATTGAAAGTGCTTAAAATGTTGTATGGTTCTTGAGTGTCTTTTGTTTTAAGAGATAGAAAATGTGAACTAAAATAGGATCTGTTATTATGTTATTGAGAAATGGAGGCATTATCTCAAATTGTTATTGATTTTATGTAACTTGTAGGAATTCAATTAAAATTCTATACAAAAAGTACACCATTCTTTCCTTGACCTTGATTGATGGTTATATGGATATTATGGAAGTTTGCTAAATATCTTACTTTTTTTAAAAAATAACAATTTTTAACTCACCTGAGCTGAAAGCTAAAGTTAGCTTTTCTAAGGCCATAAAAAATTAATTAATAGTTTCTCAGGCCAAAAGTTTCAAAATTCAATGCGGCAGGCATTTTTTTTTTTTTTTTTTTTTAAAGCAGGTATCTGTTTTTCATGTCAGTCGTTCAACAAAATGATGATATCAACTAATTCTCACTTTTTGGTTCTCTTAATATACTAATTATAATGTACTCAACTTTAAATTACAATGTATGTTATTCTAAACATTTCTTTAAAAGTTAATTAATAAAGGACTGTATAGACTAGAAGAATATTGTTTATCTAATAAAAACGTCATAACTCAATTTTCTTTTTCAACTTGGAAAAATAGAAAATTGAGTTATTTCCCTTTCAAAATGTAAATAAAATTGATCAATGCGGCTGTTTTTGACCTGATGCGGCGGTGCCTGAGAAACTGTTGATTAATTTTTTTGGCCTAATTAAAATTTGTCTGCTGTTCTTGTTGTCATCATAAACTCTTCACAATTTTATCTTCTGCAGATCCATTTGGCAAATTTCAACCAAAATTGACACAAAGCATCTTTGGGTGAAGGGGATTCAATTTTTTTCAAAGAGGGCCCACACCCTCTTTCAAGGGGAGATATTAAGAATAAGTGAAAATTTAATGGCATCTTTCAAAAAGGTTTTTCTTAAGAACCACTGAGCCGAAAAAGTTGAAACTTATGTGAAAGCTTCATTACATATTCTAGATTTAATTTCGTTCAAATCATGACCGCTGGGGGTAGGGTTGGGCCGCAATGGGCGATCTAAGTTTTACATAGGAATAAGTAGGAAAAAAGATATTTGAAAATCTTTTTCTCAAGAACAGCACAGGCATGATAAAGTATTTTTTATATGGAAGCATCCTCTGGTATTCTTAATTCGAGTGTGTTCAAATCATGACCCCTGGAGATAAATTTGGTCCACAATGGATGATCACTATGTTACATGGGAATACCTTGGAAAAAAACTTTAAAAATCCTTTTCTCAAGGACTGCAAAGGCATGATTATTTAGTCATATTGATGTGGAATCATCATAAGATAGTGGAAATTAAAGTTTATTAGAATCATGACCCCCAGGGGTAGGATGGGGCCACAATAGGCAATCAAATTTTTTAATTACATTTAAATTTCTAGGGAAAAAAAACAGGTGATGATGAACAGCAAGACCATTTTGACTCTGGTGAGTGTTATGGTCCATAGGTTTCTTGTTTTATACAAGCACTGACAATTTTGTCTAGAGTAAAGCAGTTCAGCTCAGTGTTATGTACAAAATTAATCTTTTTGAGAATTTTTTTTAAATTAAAGTATTCAAGAATTTTTAGTACAAATACAATGGAACATTTATGGTTTCTAGATGATTCCATACTCTGTAGTGGATACCGAGTAAACTCTTTTGATATCCACTGGTATATTCCACTTGTTATAAAGTCTTGTCATAGAAAGATAAGATGTTAATTTGTTACCAGCTACAAATGCATTGGCCTGATAATTATCTGTTGGCTGCGTAAAAATTAGATCTTGTCCGTTAGGTATATGTGATGCTAGCTTGCAGAACAAGGCTTTAGCAATTTTGGGATCATCAGCATACAGTGGATACATCTTGAATCCAATATCTGAGGGTCGAAGAACCCCATATCCAACAACACGCCCTTTTTTCAGAGCAACGAATGTGTTTGCAGACTGATGCTCAGCCCAGTTACTGATATAAACTGGTCTAGGTACAGTATGTATCTCAGAGTCGTAATCAATGACATCATCGAACTTGATGTCACGTGCATTCACAACCTCGAAGTCACCCTCCGGAACGTCTGCAATGAACGCTGGATTGACGGGTCCTTGGTTGTAGTGAAATGTGTAGGACTTGATGGTCCAGCCAAACTGTGCGTAGAACGTGATCCTGTTAGAAAGGGCAGTTCCACCTACATTCCGGTCTCCCATTACTTTCATTACCTGCCGAAACATCTGCTTCCCGATCCCCAACTGCCGATACTCATCCTTAACAATATTCATTCCTGAGGACGCAACTGTCTCACTATGAACAAGGATTCCATTATGCCCTGATCAACAAAGAAGACGTTTTGAAAAAAGATCATGATGCGTAGTATGTATATGAAAAATGAAAGAGAGAGAAAGCATTTTGTCTAGGGGCTTGAAGATAACAGTCTTTTTACTCTCTGTAAAACGACTTCAAGCCCCAAAAGAAGATTCGACGTATCAATAAACCTTGTGTCAAAACGACCCTTGTATGATTACATGTACACATTTTAAAAGAGCTATTTGCCACGCATGGTCACCGATGTTGATGAAATATTGCCCATTATTAAAACTTGTCATCAAAAACATATATATCAAAAATTTAGTTGCTATGTGTCTTGGTTGCCATGGTAACAGCTGGAAAAGTGAAAAAAAAATGCAATTTTCAGCTACTTTGGATTTTTATTGAGGGTTAATAAAGACTATGAAAATCAAACAAACCACTCTTACAAAATAATTGTCGCCCACGTGACGCAGTGGTTAGGGCGTCTGCTCTAGAGTCGCGAAGTAAGGAGCTGATCATTAGTCGCGGGTTCGAATCTCTGCGGGACGTGGAGACCGGTCCGTATAAACCGAGGTCCCGTGTCATAGTAGGTGTTGTCACGAAAATGATCCCTCACTGCTCAATGGCCCTGAGTGCCGAGTATAGGTATAAATTTGATAGGTGCTACATGATCAAACTCCATCAGCAAGAAAATCAGTTAAAATATTTGATCTTAAGTAATAAGGTATTGTCAATATTAAATCTAAAAATAACTTTCATGGTTACCATGGTAATACAAAGTAACCACACAAAATTTGCTGCTAAGTTTAGGTTAATGCTGCATTCTTAGGGAACAGCATGCTATGGAAATTCAAGACTTGCAAATGTACATCGTTAGGACCTTGTAACATAGATAGCATAAGGAAAATTGGGATATCAACAATTTTTTACCTTGACCTTGGAGTTTGACCTATTTTAAGAAATCTTGGTCATTTTTTTTAATGAGTTGGCGCTAGGGCTTTCATACTTCACATGTGTATTTCTTGTGACAAGTCCTTTCCTTATATACCAATAATTTTGACCCTTCTCATAAAATAACCTCACTCACCTATGACTTCCCCGTCGTCCTTGACCACGACTACCAATCCTGTAGGGTCAGTATTGAATACACACTCCAAGTAAGACATCTCCATGTTCCACTTGTTTGCAGCCAGTAGGGAGTAGAGGCTTGGGATGTCTGACCGCCTCATCATACGGATCTCGTACCGTATGTCCTCTGCTGAATCACAAAGACTGAAAATGAACAGAAAATGGCTTTCATAGAATTAAACTTAATACTTGTTTAGGAATAGGATTGTTAGGGAAAACATTTTATATTTATAATTCGTCATTTACCGGTACCTGTACTTGACAGAACGAGAAATCAGAAAATAGTGCCCTACTTTAGTTGCAGACTGACGTTAAAAAACAAGATGTGTTTGTGAAACAGTGATGCCCCATTATGGCATCCTGAGGCGAGGGTTAAATTTTCTCAAATGCAAATCAAACTCCAAGGTCAAAAGATAAAAAATGTTGGTACGAAAGAAAGGTCTTGTCACAAGGAATACACCTGTGAAAGATGAAAACCTTAGCACCAACAATTCATAGGTTATAGCCAAGGTTAATGTTTTTCAAAATAGGTCAAACTCCAAGGTCAAAAGTCAAAATTAATGGTACACATGTACATGGGAAGGCCCTGTAACAAGGAATATACATAGGAAAAATGAAAGCCCTAACACCAACCATTCAAAGGTTATGACCATGGTTAAAGTTTTTCAAAAGTAGGTCAAACTCCACGGTCAAGGACAAAAGGTCAAAACTATTGGTATATAAAGAAAGGACTTATCACAAGAAATACACATGTGAAGTATGAAAGCCCTAGCGCCAACTCTTTAAAAATAATGACCAAGATTTCTTAAAATAGGTCAGACTCCAAGGTCAAAAATTGTTGTACCTAAGGGAAAATCTTGTCACAAGGAATACACATGTGAAGTATGAAGCCTAGCAACAACCGTTCAAAAGTAATGGCAAAGGTTAATTTTTTTTTCAAAAGTTGGTCAAAGTGCAAGGTCAAGGTCAAAAATTGTTGGTACCCAAGGAAAGGACTTTTCACTAGGAATAGACATGTGAAGGATGAAAGCCCTAGCAACAACGGTTCAAAAGTTATGGCCAAGGTTAAAATTTGGTAAAATTTTGCAAAAGTAGGTCAATCGTCAAGGTCAAAAGGTCAAATATATTGTTACCCAAAGAAAAGTCTTGTATAAGGAATATACACGTGAAATGTGAAATTCATAGCTTCTTATGGGTAAGGTTTTCGCGGACAAACAGACAGCTAGACAGACGGACGGACGAACAGGGCAAAAACTATATGCCCTCCGAATCTTCGATTACGGGGGCATAAAAACGCAGAATGCACATGTTTAAACTGAACTTGAATCCACCTTGACCAATTTTGCTTTGAAAACAAACCACGGGTGTTTTATGGCTTATAAACTGAGGAAAATGCATTTATATAGATATATATGTATATATAGATATATATGTATATATATTTATACCTTCGGACTGAGTTAACCATCCATTTTCTGGAGAATATTAATGATTGTCGGAACCGACACAGACCATATCGTAGCACCATAATTTTCAGCCAACAAAACAATGTCCTTTTCAGTCAAAGATAAGTAAATATTTATCAATCGATCTGCTAAGGCTGTTAATTTTCACACGTTAGATAAAGATAATATGAGATATTGGATCTTTTATCATGAATTATGAAGCGAGAACTTATAAATTATGAACATGCAGCAAATGCATTTTACAGTCAAACTGCAGCATTATAATGTTTATGCCTCCGTAATCGAGGGTTCGGGGGTATATAGTTTTTGCCCTGTCCGTCCGTCTGTCTGTCTGTCTGATTGTCCGCAAAAACTTTAACCTTGCCCATAACTTTTGATTGGTCAGAGCTATGGCTTTCATATTTCACATGTGCATTCCTTGTGACAAGACCTACATTTGGGTAGCAGCATATTTGACCTCTTAACCTTGGAGTTTGACCCACTTTTGCAAAAAAAATTACCCAACTTTAACCTTATACTTTTGAACAGTTGATGCCAGGGCTTTCATATTTCACATGTGTATTCATCTTCACAAGACCTTTCCATGGATATAAATATTTTTAACCTTGACCTTAGAGTTTGATCCACTTTTAAAAAACTTAAACTTTGGCCATAACTTTTGAACAGTTTGTACTAGGACTTTCAAATTTCACAGGTATATTTCTTGTGACAATACCTTCCTTTGGATACCAATAATTTTGACCTTGGAGTTTGGCATACTTTTGAAAAAAAAAAAACTTTAACCGCCGCCATAACGTTTGAATAGTTGGTGCTAGGGCTTTTATATTTTGCATGTGTATTTCTTTGGACAAGGTCTTCCAAAACATACCATTTATTTAGACCTTGGAGTTTGACCCACCTTTAGAAAACATTAACCTTGACCATAACTTTTGAATGGTTGGTACTTGGGCTTTCATATTTACCAGGTATATCCATTGACACAAATCCTTTCTTTTGGTAACAACATTTTTGATCTCTTTTGACCTTGACCTTGGAGTTTGACTTGCATTTTAGAAACTTTAACCTTTGCCATAAGCTGCTATACGGAGGCATCAGTGTTTCACAAACACATCTTGTAATGCATGTTAATCTCTAGAATATTACGTCTGTTTTATACATACAAACAAAGCCTTTAAGGATCAATTACGCAAAATTATTTTTTTTTAAATATTAATTAAGTTATATTACGCGAAAAGAGACATTATTAACTTATTATGCCTTTCAAAAGGTATATTAATGCGAATTGATTCCATTCGAGAATTTTTCACTCATATCGAGACGTCACCGTATGCCGGTGAAGGGCTACAAATTTAGACCTATACTTGGCACCCAGGGTCATTGATCAGTGAGGGTTCTTTGTCGTGTCAGGCATACCGTGACACGAGACCACGGTTTATAAGGTCTCACCCGAAAGACCCGTGATTTCACTTCTTATGCCGGGCGAAAGAACAGTCACGATTTATGTTTACGTCTTGTGTTAGAATCGAACCTGGGCCTAACGCAAAGTGTGAAATGGCAGAATTATATGAGGGGTGGAACCAAAACCGTCTTTGGGTTTTTTTCCCCTAGCTCTTGGACAAAATGAGTTTAATGATTATAATGAGCACTTCGCCTTCCATGAGGAAAAAAATGGCGAACTCTATGCCCCCCCCCTTTCCCAGGTCCAGGTACAAGCATCAGGACAGTTTCATATTGAAAACACATATGTATATTGCGCCTTTGAAAAGTCTTTCTTCCTGGATATCTAGCTGCAAAATGTTTTAATTATTACCCTTCTACCAACTTTGTGACATTTATGGAATCCATCAAATGGATCAAGGATTCAGACCCCGGCCTGAGCATTAGTTGGTTATGTATTTTTAAAAAATACACCTAAAATCTTCATTGCGTCAATAAACAGCTCCGCATCACATCCGCATTAAATATAACTCTGTTCCTTTGAAAGTTTTATATGTTCTGTATGAAAAGGCTAAAAAAATTCCATACTTGCCAATAGATTCTTCAACACCAGAATACATGTTGGATTCTGAGATTATGGTAATTGCAAATCATAGGTTTTTTAATTCGCCACGATTTATGGAAGACAGGAATTTTCAAAATAAATTTGTTATATTTAAAAAATCACTTGAATGGTCAATATAACAATATTTGGTGTATTTATTTTTTTAGATGTTTTAAAAACGGTTATGAAATCACAAGTTAATAATTAATAATCTTTTTTTTCTTTAATAATACGTAGAATTCGAGGAACATGTCGACAGTACTAAAGAAGTATGAGGAAGTTTAAAAGCAATCTCTTGACATAAGAAGATTTCCTTGAAAGGAGTTGGTATATGCAGCCATTGACTAAATGCGCCTCGGGCTCTAACGATCTTCTGCATGGTCGTTGACACAGCAAAAGTGCAGGATAGAACGATGGATTCTACCAAGAGTAGCATTGCAATTTATACGCCACAACTCTTGGGAGGCCGGAAGGAACAATCAGTAAACATTTTAAAAAATGTTTAGGAGTTCCACCAAGTTTTACATCCAAAGGATTGCACAGCAGGAGCGCAATGTTGCAGCTACCATTAACGTCAATAGTGGAAGAATTCAAAGAGGGCAAAACACGTCTCGTAATAGCATTGGAAGACTTTAAAGATGAGAAAGTAAGATTATCAGTAGTAGAAGTAAGAACGGGACAAAAGTCTTCAGCCTTTAAAGCAGTTTCAGAAGCAAAGAATAGACTAGAGAAAACGACTGTGGCAGCAAGAAAGCAGGGTTTTGGAATATCAAAAACCTGCTACTTGAAAAATGCTGAAACTTAAGTGAGGTGAAGCCTGCTTCAAGGAGAGATTAAAAGCAGAGAAGAAAAAAGAAGACAAGCAAAGACAATCGAGTTAAGGGGCCAAGGTACATGGTTAAGATGGGAATATGAGCAACAATTTCTTTTATAGTCAGAAGTGTGGGCGGTATCCATTGTACAATTCCTTCTAAGATCAGTTTATGATGTGTTACCAACACTTTCAAATCTGCACAGATGGAACCTGTCAGAAGCATCAGATTGTCCTTTGTGAGGAAACAGAGGAATACAACAACATATACTATCAAGATACAACATTACTCTTAAACAAGGACATGGCAACACAAACATGTCCTTTAGGGAGTTAATAAAGGTAATTAAGGAAAGACAGAGGAAGGAAGCAAGAAACTTGAGAAACAAGACAACCAACATTTATTAGTGAAGGGGGATAGAGTGACAAAGAAGAACAAAAGCTGTCAGGAATTTATTAAACAAAACTAAGAGATTGGCAGCTACCTGCGAATATACCGGTAGCAAGAAGCTGCAGCTCCTAAATATTGTACTCTCAAATCTTATTGACCCGACATGGTTCACTGGCCTGTTTGCAAGAAGCAAGAAGATAACAAGATAAAGTTGGTTCCTTCGACTTGGGATGAGAGATGTGGCTAAGCCAATGAAAGGAAGAGGGCAAATACGAATATGAAGAACTGATGGCGGAGTGCCGAGACAAAGGATGGCATACATGAAGCTTTGCTATCGAGGTTTGCTGCAGAGACTTCTCTGTACAGTCAATGTGAAGGTTGACCTCTGAATGAGGAGTAACTGGCCGATGCAGAAGAGTAACAAAGCTAGAAAATTGGCCAGGCGGCAGAGAAAACATTCTGCTGAATATGGATATGGATGGAAAGGGGCAGTAGAAGCTAGTAACCCACCACTCATGCGTAGTCACTGTGATTGATCACCACTGTGACCCCCCCCCCCCCCCCCAGGAGGTACAAAGTTAGGGGTTGAAACACACAATGAGGAATGGCTCCGGCTGTTTGCACTAGTTCAACCAGTATTATTGTAAGTACATGTAACTTCAGAAAATATACATTGAATGAAATTTGTCGATTACATGTATACTATAAATAATGTTCTTTCACAGAATCAATAAATAGGTACTAAGGCATTTGATCAAAGGAAATTTTCTCCATACCAAAATGATCAGAGCCAACTTCAGTATGTTTAAAGATATATATATTTATTCTCTAAAACTTATTTGACAACCCTATATATGTATATAATTTAATTGGTGAAATAGTGTCGCAGCTGCATTATCTATAGATGCTCTTACATGTACCATTTCGACATTTAGCTTTTGCCTTCTGAAATTACCACTAGAAAGATTGTCACTTGAAATCTGAGCATAACTGCACGAAATGTGTTTCTTAATAAGTATTTAATTAGTGTGTCAATTTTTATTTTCCATTGAGGTAGCATTTGTGTTCATCCAGTTAAAATTATTAAATAAAAAATATGAAGTACATGTATTTTCAAACATATATCTAAAACCAATCATTAAATAAATATAAGGACAGCTTTTAGGACATAGCCATTGATTGATCTAGATCTGAGATTGCCGAACGTGTATGATTTCAGTACTTTAGAACTTAGGCGATACTATCGCCATATTGACCCATGTAACCACTCCAGCGCTGCTTCTCCGCGGGGAGGAACTTTAGTGTGTGTATTTCATTCTCGTTGTCAGTGTGTTGCATTCTGGGATGGAGCGTAGCGTTGATTGGTACATATAACTGATTTTGTATGGCATCATCAAGATTGATTTTAAAAATATCTGTGTCAAACTTCATTTTGACGAAATTAGCATGTTCGTCACGGATGACGCCAACTGAAATCAGGTTAACGATGACGTCAAGTTTACCATCACCATCAACATCACCAAAGGCACCTAAAATTGACAACAAAACAAATTCTTCACTCCTTCCGCATAAATAAAAATATGAAAATAACGAACAGTAATAATGCTTCAAAGTTCATTGAAACAATTAATACAAACAGTGAGCAGAGCAAACACGGACCTCTAAAAAATCAAAAGTGGGATGAGATGAGGAGTAAGAATCCCATGTCGACCAGTCACACTCGCCGTGTGTTCTTTGTCATGATAATATATCTATCTTTTTATGTTAGGAATGGAGTAGTGAAATCAGAAAATATGGTTATTACCAGTTGTTCTTTCGTCTGGTTGTATCATCACACACAATTTCCCATCAGTTGATCTTTTACCACGTGTCCATGGTATCTCAAGTTCGGTAAGGTTATTTGTTACTCCATACTGTTTCTGCACGTTTTTCACCATTTTCCTGTCTTTACTGGTCAGTTCTGCAAAAGTTCCAAAGATGTTTAATTCAAGAGTAGAACATCATTTCCCTGCATTCGAGGTTGGATTTAGCATTAGATCCATTTACGTTATATGGTCCGTATCTTTGCAAGTATTTCAATCAAATAAATACTTCGCACTAAATTATTTTCCTCTTCTTATTGAAAACTATATGGAGATTATCGTATTTACAAAATTTTAGATCTCAAAGAAAACAATAAACCAAGTTACGTGTAATTAAATTCAGTTTGGCATTTCGACAATTTTATCTGTACAAAAGATAAAAACAAGGTGTGAGCAGGAGCAGAACTTTGAATATCAGTAAAATTAATTTTATAATTATCATGGTTTCATGCGACATAAGGCGTTTCTTTTTCGCTGTCAAATGTGCCCATTGGAGAATTTTCAATGATTATTATTCATGAAATTAATACATGTATTTATTACTATATATTGCTTTACATGCTATAATACATGATATCTGGATTAACTTGATAACATTTTTTTCTTCAGAAATTCATCATTCAAAAAGATTCACAAACCATATTTTAGCTTATTTCATATCCTTTAAAATATGCAAAATGACAAGAACAGTAAAACTTCAAATAATTCTAAATGATTCGCTAAATACTTAATAAGTTACTTACTGTAGTATAACTTTTTGGAACCTCTTTCCCATAGCTTTACCGGTTTCTTCAATACCGTTCTGTCAAGAGCGAATAACTCTGCTAGGAACACTGTTTGGTCGCTCTCACATTCTATGTAGTCGTCTGCCCTCCGATGGCGTACGTGATCCTCAGAAAGAAAGATTCCATCGTCTTCAAAGTCAGCATCTTTCACATGTTGATCCACAAAAACCATCTTGCCGTCCAAGGATCGTTTGTTGTTTATCTGCGATGGATATAGAGTTCAGACATCATTTACCATGGTCTATGGTAGTTTATACACTTATATTTACATTTCCAATGTCTTTGTCCGAGATAAAATTTCAAATAGTAAAAATACTTTATTTCTATATAAATCTACTGGTTCAGCGATAGGCGTGGTGAAAAAAAATCACGTGCGGGGCGGGACAAATAGAGATAGAAGCTGGGCTTGTAGCACGTGAATTTGCAGAATGAGCATGTAAATATAAGGAATAACTGTCAGGGTTTTTGGTTTGATGACGATGGTCAATCGATTGGCTTGCGTGATAATTTTATGCATAAACGCCTTCGGCGTTTATGCACATTATCACGCAAGCCAATCGATTGATCACATCATGAAACCAAAAAATTAGACAGTTATTCCTTAATTACATGTCCCTATATAATAATAGTTTTCGTTTGTAAGTTGCATGTACCTGCTTGCGACCTGTTCTAGGGAAACCTTTTCTTTGTGCTTCGATTATGAGTACATGTAAGTATTACTTAAATTCTCAATTCAAACTAAATTTTAATGAAAAGCACTTTAATGTGTAAATGTTCTTGAAAATATTTTTCCATATGTTGAGCAAAAACATGCAGTGTAGCCATCTTTGTGATTCTCCATGCTCTTCCCATATATTATACGTACATGTTATACGGGTTCAATATCAAATCTCAGAAACTTTTTTTAAGATTAGATTTTCCCGATAATTACCTAGGTCTAATCTATAGCCAATTCTCATTATACTTATTCGGTTATTTCATTGGGGGAAAATACTTATTTATAAAATAAAATGAATTGCATTGATCCGTTCGAGAGTTAGAACCGATCAAAATTGGTCGTGAGCCAGTACGTTTTTTTCAGTAGAATCAGAAAGTTCTGAGCACAAACTTTCTCTTACTACTTCTAATCACACCATGCAATTCTCAGGGTACAATTAATTTCCTTCCATCGGGAGACATCAAATCTTTCAACACTAATACTAGAAGTATATACATGTACTTGTACTAACCACTCTTTGTATTCCGGTAGCCCCATGTATTGCGCCTTGAGGTCTTGGATCCTTTCCTTTTCTTCCCTGTACACGGAATAAAAACATATCACGGTTCCTTGCAGTTGTCTTGACCGTCAGATCGGAAGTGACGTCATACCGGCCAGATGTTGTGTTCCACAGAATGGCACCATCCTTACCATCGATGACAATTGTCTACAATGAAAAGAAAATATTATAAAGTTAATATATATACTGATAATTACTAATTCTGTTTTATGCACAAAGATAGCATTTGCTTCCATCATGATGAAATAGTGAATATTACTTCGGTAAAATTGTAGTAAGGCCAAGCTCCACCGCTCCAGTGAACCATGAAATCCAGAACGTCGTCGTCATTAAAGTAACCTGGTGCTGGGTTGCTGGAATGTTAAGGACTCTGATCGACGAGATTTAACAATGTTGACATATATATCTATTCACAGAACTTGGAACTTATTGCCTCTACTTTAAATGTTGTTTCAACTCCTTCAGATCCTCAATATTTTTGTGATTCATATACGGTATAATGCTGATGGGACTATTTTCCTTACCTGTAGGATTCCCGATTTTCAAATTTAACCTTCCATTTGATTGCCAGCGTCTCACCACAGTATAAGATCATGGTTCCGTCAAAAGCCGACATTACAATATCTTTGACGCCATCTTTGTTGACGTCGGTCAATACAGGAGGAACCATTACTCCTTTTGTGTCACTCCTGTCAAATTGGTCCGAAGAACATAGCAAACATAAATTGATGCAACAAATGACTCAAAATAATCATCTTTTTTACAAATATATCGATGTTATTTAATAGGATAAATCACATTCATAGTTATCTTATTCATGTATTATAAGCATCGTTTATTAAAAATTGACTTAACACATGTATCAGTATTATTTATTACAAATTGATCTGAATATCGCCTTATGTATTACAAATTGACCTGTAGAGTTCTATAGCTCCACTTTCCATAGGGTTCTTGAATCCAAACTTTTCATATTTGCCGCGGACGTTGGGAACTAGATGATCCTTGTCATATCCATGGACATGTCTGTAAAAATCGGGTAGGGATATGGCCATAAAGAGACCTGGAAAAAAAAAGATTTTTACATTTTATGAAAGGAAAACGGGTAAAACAAAAATGATCAAAAAGATTAAGGAATTCAAAGAAAAGCGCATATATATGCGTCGTATCTAAGAAATATAATGTTTTTAACGAAACCCACAGCGCATCCATTATTAGTCCCCTACCGGTGAAACCGGAGGGGACTATAGGTTTCCTCTGAGTCTGTCCGTCCGTCTGTCTGTCTGTCCGTCTGTCTGTCTGTCCCTCTGTCTGTCTGTCAGTCTGTCCCACTTGGTTTTCCGCACTTTTTTCCTAAACGCTTGCAGATATTGAGCTGGTTTTTGGTATGTGAGTGTATCTTGATGAGTTACAGATCAAGTTTGCATTTCGTTCCGCTTCATTGATTTTTGACGGAATTACGGCCTTTTCAATTTTTAAGGGTTTTCCGCAATTTTTTTTCTAAACGCTTGTAGATACTGATTTTTGGTATGTGGCTTTACCTTGATTAGTTATAGATCAAGTTTGCATTTCGTCCCGCTTTATTTATTTTTGACGGAATTATGGCATTTTCAATTCTTAACGGGAACCAGATTACACTTGCCGGTAGGGGACTAGTATTGCTCATGCAATACTCTCAGAATGCTTGTTATTTTTGATTTTACAATCAATTCATACTTCAGTTGATTTTGTCAAAATACCTCCAACCGTTTCTCCACCACTTCCAAATAAAATGTACTGGGATCCGTCCCTGCGCTCATGTATTACTGGAGAGATGTAGATTTCCTTGGATTCAGGCATTTTTAGAGGCCTTCCTATTGGTTCACCAGTGGCTCCAGACATAAGCATCAACCAACCAGGATTTCTGTTGTGATTCTTTATAGGAAATATTATGCTTGATATATACATGGAAAAAATGTGTGGATGTGGCTTTGATTACAGACATAAACAAGAGGCCCAGGGGTCACATTGCTCACCTGAGCACTGTGGCTAGGAAACAAGAAAAAAAATCAGTTTAGTATTGAAAAGCTTAAATGCATAAGTGGTCCCAACCTACCCTGAAAAGGGAATGGGGGGGGGATGATTTGAACAAAATTAAATCTACACTTACTAATGATGCTTACATAATTTTTTGACTACTGTGGCATTTTACTCTACAAGTTTGAACTTTCATTGTGGCCCACTCTACTCCTGGAGGTCATGATTTGAACAAACTTGAATCTACACTATCTGAGGATGCTTCCATATAAATATGACAAACAGTGGCTTTGCTGTTCTTGAGAATATTTTTAAAGATTTTTCCTATATATTCCTATGTAAAACTTTGATCGTTCATTGTGGCCCCACCCTAGCCCCGGGGGTCATGATTTGAACAAACTAGAATCTACACCACCTGAGGATGCTTCCACATAAATATAACCAATCATAGCTTTGCCTTTCTTGAGAACATTTTTGAAGATTTTTCCTATATACACCTATGTTAAACTTTGATCGTCCATTGTGGCCCCACCCTACCCCTGGGGGTCATGATTTAAACAAGCTGAATCTACACCACCTGAGGATGCTTCCACATACATATGACCAATCATAGCTTTGCTGTTCTTGAGAAGAAGATTTTTGAAGATTTTTCCTATATATTCCTGTGTAAAACTTTGATCGTCCATTGTGGCCCAACCCAAGCCCCGGGGTCATGATTTGAACAAACTTGAACCCACACCACCTGATGATGCTTCCACATAAATATTACCAATCATTGCTCTGCTGTTCTTGAGAAAAAGATTTTTGAAGATTTTTCCTATATATACACCTATGTTATACTTTGATCGTCCATTGTGGCCCTACCCTGCCCCTGGGGGTCATGATTTGAACAAACTTGAATCTACACCACCTGAGGATGCGTCCATATAAATATGACCAATCATAGCTTTGCTGTTCTTGAGAAGAAGATTTTTGGAAATTTTTCCTATATATTCCTGTGTAAAACTTTGATCGTCCATTGTGGCCCCACCCTACCCCCGGGGGTCATGATTTGAACAAACTTGAATCTACACTACCTGACAATAATTCCACATTCTTTCCTGGCCCATTGGTTCTTAAGGAGAAGATTTTTCAATAATGCCATTAATTTTTTGCTATTTCGTAATTATCTCCCTTTGGAGGAGGGCGAAGCCCTTCATTTGAAAAAAACTTGAATTCCCTTTACCCAAGGATACTTTGTGCCAAGTTTGGTTGAAATTGGCCCAGTAGTTCTGGAGAAGAAGATGAAAATGTGAAAAGTTTACGACAACGCCAACGACGACGACAGACATCGGACAAATTTCGATCAGAAAAGCTCACTTGAGCCTTCGGCTCAGGTGAGCTAAAAACGAAAAAGATTGAAATAAATTGTTTAATAATTTTATAAAAATTGAAGAATACTAGTATTCATTTATGAATGCTACTGAATTGTCCAAAGATTTGTCACTTAACAAACTGATATATCTACCTCTGCTGGAAGAACGGGATCGCCACCGTGAGCGATGACGACTTCCCCGACTCCATCGTAGTCCAAATCTTGGACCGTGGCTGGACTGTAGATATTCCAACCATCATGTATCTTCGATTTATCCGTTGTCCACAGTATCTTACCTTAATTCAGACAATACAGAATCATTAAAGGTGACCACAATTGAAACATCTAATTAAATGTAAAAAGAGAATTAGATTTGATTTTTTGGGTTTTGATTTAATATTCAAATTCGGTTAGATACCATTCTTTGGATCGATTGCTACGAGGGTACCGAGACGTCCAGATGCTAGGCAATCATAGGTGCCATCTTTGTTGACGTCAATACCATGGCAATTTATTGCGAAGACTTCAGAATACACGTCTACCTTCCACAACAATTTTCCATCATATCCCCTTAAGGCAATAACTCCACCAGCACAGGGGACCTTAAGACCTTTAAATTTTCATTTAGAATTATGAAAATACAGATGTAAAAGCATTTGTGAATTCTTGGTTGGAATAAAAACAGTCCAAGAAGTAAAACGTCACAAGTAGACACGGACCTATACTTTCACAGAATTCCTCCATACTTGGTTCGGTTATCATGGTACTGATATCTTTGCCTATAGCTAATCCAGTTATAATGTCCAATAAACCATCTCCATCCACATCAACCAATCGGATACATGACTCAGAGCCTGTTTAACGAATTCACATTTTGTAGATTGACAACATATGCTATGGAATATTTTTTTGCCATAGGACTATCTTGGTAATTATATTTTAATTCTTGAGTGAGGATTATTGCATCCAAGTACATGAATATGATATAAAATTTTGTGATGTTTTGAGTATTACATGTAATGCAGTAAAAATGATAAATCTGAATGGGTTAAATCATGACAGACAAACCATGGTCCGCTATTTTTGTTCTCCACGGTGACGTATGTCTAGCCACTCTTTTATGTGACTCGTCATTGGGTCTTTTAAAGGTCATGGGTGTGAAGAATCCGGCAGCATACCCAGCACCAAACACCAAGAGTATCACAGCAAAAATCAAGGCAGCGTTTGTTGCTGTGCAACATTTGTTCTTGCCTGAGTCTCTATGAGACCTAGAAAAGTTATATCCTGTTCCATTTGTCTTCGATGGAAGTAATGAACTTTTGTCATGGATTTGTACTTCCGGTTGTGACATGACTGGCATGTCCTCATCTTCATCTTCACTTCCGCTTCCCAAGGGAAGCAGATTTTTGTAATCTTTTCCTGTTTAATAATGTATGTCATTATTTTTTTTCAATTGAACTTCAGAGCAAATTTGTTATAAAAAACTTTGTTTTACTTTCTTCGATCAACTGACATTTATTACCACAGTTCTTTTTCAAATTACTGTACTTGTTTAATGTTTGTTTGTTTTAAAACAGCTTATATATGACACGTTTTGTCAAGTATATTTATTTTCATCACAAAAGTTTTTGTTCATGCAATTAAGAATATTTCTCTCTTGACATTGATTTACTGTGATATTATAAAATTAAACAAAAAAGTGAATTTTGATCTTCTGCAAAATCACACTCACCCTATACCAAAAAGCTTTACGTTGAAACAAAATTTCATTGAAAAGTATTATATATCTCATAATGTTAATTTTTTTCACAAAACAAATGAATATGAAGCAGCAAATAAATACCTGGCATTGTGTTTATTCACCGTTCTACTTTCTGGAACGGTCGTCTTGATAAGTCATGGTAAATGCATTCTACAAACCGAACCTATTTTGTAATGGAAGATAAGGGCTATCAAATTGATTACATGTATTAGTACTAATTGTAGGTAGACGTGGTAATTCCTGTACAATATCTCGTCATATCTAATCTATATTCCCCAGAATGTTCGTAGATAATATTGTTATTTTCCAGAATACATTCTATGTTTACACGATAATAATCTCTAATTCTGAGGCTTAGATGTTTTTTTTTTGTATTAAAATTTTGTTGGACATTAGAAACCAGTCGCAGTAGCTTAATTATAGTGCATTGCAGGGCGCTTCCGTGATCGGGAGGTCTGGGTTCGATTTTTGTTCCAAATGTTCGCTAAACGCAAAAGTCATGGGTCTTTCGGAAAAGCGCAGGTACTGCGTCACGATACAGTGTAGGTGTTGGCACGCTATAGAATAATATTTAACCCTCACTGCCCCATGAGCCTGAGTGCCGAGCAAGGGTCTACATTTGAAACCTTTCACCGATATTGGATGACGTCTCATAAGTGAACAGTTCTTGCAAGTGACGTAAAACAATAATCAATTGGTCAGTCGTGTATTAGAAAGATGTCACGACAAAGACATGGAAAACTCGGTACAAGCATATTTTAATGTCCTGGGTGTATTTTTTAATACTTTTTTCTTCAGGAATCGCTAAAACATTATTACCAAAATTTATGACATTTTCTATTCTTCTCAATTGAAATAATCTCTGCTCCAATTTGTTGTACAGACAGTGTCATTTTTTTTTAGAAAACAGGCAAAGAACTGCGAACGATAGTATTGTTCTGCCGCCTACAGTGATGTACCTCCAAGTCAAATTTCAAGAGTTAACATATTTGAATGATTTTTCTTATTTATATAGATATTTAAGTGAATTTTCATAAAACATAACTTATTTTGGAAAAGAAAGAGAGATAACTCTTTAATTTTGGTAAAACACTATATAAATCAACGGAAAACGGAAAATATTTTTACCCCCCCCCCCCCCCCCCGTGAAACAAAGATTCCTTTTTATGGGTTTTATGAATTGTTATTTCACAAATTCCCACCAAAACTTCTGTTGTTTCACCGGGGGGGGGGGGATATGTTTATAGACAAAAAACTGTAAAATTGGTAATTTTATCACCAATTTTAAATGAAGTAACATATAAAACAGGCCCCTAGGAAGCAATTTCAGTTTGGGGGGGGGGGGGCACAGCTCCCCGGTTCCTACGGCCATGCAAAATAAGGTCTTTCATCAATCTTTTATATTGAATTTAACATAAGTCAAACATACGGAAAGATTTAAGGGTCATTTAGTCATTCCCATGCGTTTTTGAAAATCTAGCGATTTTTAAAGCCTGATTTCAATGGATAAAATTTTCAACCCCACTTTTGAAAAGAGTCGTAGATAAGAGCAATTACTGAAGTTTTTGACACTGGTTTTATAATTATCAATCAATTAATAATGAACTGTTCTTTGCATTCAATCAAATTTTAATGGCCAAACTGTCATTTATATTGAATTAAATGGGTGCAAAATGTATCGAGAGTTAGCGTGCGTGGTTCTTATGAATTAAAATCAGCTAGGGATGGGTATCCGCAAAAATTTTGTATCGTGATATATCACGATTTTGTCCCCCAAAAATATCACGATAAATCGTGATATTTTTACACACAATTTTTACTAATATTTTAAATGAATTTCCTTAATATTTATTAAAGATATGCTATAAAAAACATAACTTTACTTTTTAAATTTTTATTCATTTAATATAAAACATGTTTGGATGCCGTTGTATACATGTAACGGCATGTTATAAAGTATAATAATACGAGGGTTGTTCGAAAAGTTCGTGGACGATTTCAATCTTTGTTATACTACTTCCAAGAAATTTAAAATAAGCACAATATTATGTGTAAAAATATTTGTTTTGTTGATCTGTCAAATTTCATTTCATTCGATTTGATAGAAATTAATTTACTTCATTTTAAAATCAACATGTTTTGTAATCACGGAGCACACTTAAAAGCAATGTAACGTCAAAAACAGCGTCAAGAATTTCTTAAAAATACTATCCCTATACATTCACACAGTTTAGTACAATACCCACGTATTAAAAACCTTTTTCAATCACTTGACATTTATTTTTCTAACAATTGTTCTCGTTTTATAATTTCCTTGGTTAATGTTTAATTTCTTTTACCGCTTAACTGTGCTTTCACAAGATCAACAACTCTGAAGCGCCTACGTCTTTCCATGGCCCAACTTTTAAAAGTTTTCGTTCAGATTTTTACAGTTAAACCGTTTCTTCACAGATTGTCCTGGTCCGATACAGAGTCTCTGTCACTCAAATACCGCCTCTACCATTTACGCACACATGCACTACTCGCTTGTGGCATTTTTTCTGATTCCTCCAACATTTTAGCGTTTATTCAGGATTTTCCACGAGTATAACACAAAACTGCATCGTTATCTGCTGCTCCGTGACGTTCTGCAACGTCATCGTTTTTGTCGTTTTCAATGAGGACTATCTATCTTCTCAAATTGATTTCTTTTTACCGAAGCAAAATATTAAGCCATAATTTGGAATACGAATCGATGTAACAGTTCTTAATTTAACCGTCTAGGATTTTTTCGTTTTTGCTCCATTTTACAGAGAAGATGACTACAGACATTATTTAGTGTATTGTTTGTAAATAACTAAATTTTGACCTGCGCCGCGATCCGATTTTTGCAGTTTTGAATTCTGGATAAGTTTTAAATAAATCATGCTATTTTTGAAAAATTTCATACAAATCATTTAAATTTATTGTTAAAATATTTCTACCAAATTTGGATGACATATGACGTTAAATAAAAAAGATATGACAGAAGTCCACGAACTTTTCGAACAACCCTCGTATAATTTTGTTATATTTTATATGATGAGTGTGAATACGAGATTTCTAGTTTGAGTTGTAAATATCAAAGGATGTTTTTTTTAAATGGTCTTGGATTTATTTGGTTTGAACAAGACAAAATATTACGTTATAAACATCATTTTGTCAAACAAAGAATTACAGAAAAATTCATACAAAATCTTCTGGTCAATTGTTCATCAAAATATACTTTTTATATGCATATTGTGAATCATCTAACCATAAAGTAATGTTTCTCAAAATCAATACCTCTTGTTTATACATGTAAAAACAAATAAGCAGAATTAATAAGAAAGCCTCATCATAATCCTAAGATTGAAAGTGGATGTCATAGAAATAGTGTAAAGGAACAAAGATTTGTAAATTGTGTAAAATAGCAAATGAATATATATTTTTCCCTTTTTGTCATTTATACAAAGACTTGAGAGTTAAATATCTAAAAAGTTATTGGAATATGTGAAAACATTCTGCTAATTAGTTTTTATAAACAAGATTTTGAAAAATATACAGGGGGAGAAATTAATGTAGTATGACGTCGACGTTTCTAAATCTTAGATGATAATTTAAACATGCAGATACATTATAGATAGGACACCTGAGAATTTACAATACTTAAATTTCTGAATTAAAAGCTAAATGCAAAATATTTCCAAAATTACAAAATTCAGAAAAGTTTTGGGAACTTGGTAGTAGAGAAGTTTTACCGGTAGGAATCGTCTTTTTTTTTTTTTTTTTTTTTACGTCCTGCACTCAACCTACATGGTCGAAGTTCAATTGTTTTATTCATATTTTATCCTTTTCAAATTAGTGGTACTAAAATTTCCAAAATGTGAATGGTACAGGAACAGAGATGTCGGATACATTTAACACGCGCAAGTGCAAGTCATAGAAATCTAAAGTGCGTCAACAAATGCGCTTAAATCAAACGATCCAGGTCGAGTATGATATCAATATTTGGATAATTGTGACAAGTTAAAATAGTAAAATAAACAATAATTGACTTTTAGATGAAATTATACATGTAATATCCAAACTAACCACGAATTGTTTTCCTAGTTTCTAATCATGAATTTTCGAAATTCGAAAGATGTTTTACGGGATACAAAAACCTAAAACCTGGAAGAAGTGAAGATACTACCCAGAAAAAAATTACAAGCAAATATATTCCATGCATGAAAATTGTGTCTCGGAGATGGTTGATTTAATTTTGATAAAGCAAACCATGAAAAGTTTATCATAAAATGCAAAATTTTTCGTACTGTTTATTTTTTTTTTTAAAATCTTTTAAACCAACAAGTAATATATTTATATACTTTATGTTTAATTTTCTTGAAGGCATATTTCAACAATAATTTCGATCCGCCGATTTTATTTATTGGGTCAGCAACAGTAGAGGGAGCTTGATTCGATACAGAAAAATGAATTTGAAACTAGGAGAATATGGGGGTGTTGAAATAGACATCTCTGTGCTTGTACCATTCATATTTTGGGAATTTTGGTACCACTAATTTCAATGCTGAATTTGAAAAGCATAGAAATATAAATTAAACAACAACCAAGAACAATTGATTTAATTGGAACTTCGGCCACGTATGTAGAGTGCACGACTAACAACAAAAGCTATTAAAACGACTGAACCGTGGAAAATATTCATGCATATGTTATAAGACACTATACACAGGGGTAGAATATTTATTCTTTTATTGTATTTACCAAGTAAGAAATCTTTAAACCTGTCACTACGTTTTTTAAGAATATTTAAATTAAAAATTATTAGATACTGGCAAATATTCGTTACCGGTAAAAGTGTCAGATTTTTTTTCTTCTGTACATTGTATGAATATGTTGTACAGGCCCATAGCAAAGTTTTTCAAATGGGAGAAGCAATTTTTCGTGGGAGAGGGTGGATAAGCAGCTTCCAAATGAAATTTTACACAGTAAGACTACACAAAAAAAAACTATTCTAAAAAAAGACCCCTCCGCATTGCACAGGCCTATTGTATGCATACATGTATATGTATTAAGCAAATAAAAAATAGTAATATTTCTACACGCCCCCATCTTGAGCAGGAAATAATGAGAGGATGTTTTTATTTCATTCACTTTGGGGGGATAAGAATCGGGTTCGGGTTTCAGAAAATAGACATCACAGATTGTTCTTGAACTGCGAACTGCGGAGACAGTCGAAATGTCATTAAGGAGACGAAATAGCTTTTATAGAAGTTTTAAAGATGCATGTCCTGAATTTGAAGAAATGCTTTTGGACCGAGGAGCAACTGCAGCTGCTCAAAACAAATGGGTTTTCGAAATCGCTTGGGAAGTGGCCAATAAAGGTAAAACATGTTGTAGATCACGCTAGATTATTTCAGGTCATACGTCAAAAAACTGACCTACAAACGAGGGCATGAACAGATCATGTCAAGCATGTGCCTATATGGATGTTTATTTTTTCGTGTTAAAATTTTGATAAATGGCAGTTTTTTTTTAAACTCCATGCCGGATATCACGTTAGCGTGTATTCCCTATAAGGAAATAAATATTAAATATACTAATAACTTCGAATTTTTACATTTTAATATATATGTTGTATGTGTTTTTTTCATATGATAGGGAATTAATATGACAGCTTATATCTATCATATTCATGTTGTTTTGCCTATAAAGACGTTGACATTTTATCATCATTCACCTGTTATTTGCGTTTTGTTGTTGCACTCCTTTTCTAGTGTTGTAAGAATTTAATTCAGTCAGATATTGCATATTTGAAACAATTTGATGCAACAACTTTTATCAAGATGACATTGGGAAAAAAGTGCACATCAAACACTTGCTATACTTACTACAGAATTGCTTCAGTTTGCATGCACATGTATGTATTTTACTCTGTAATGAAAAATGTGTGTACTACCATAATTGAATAAATTACATGGCAATTTGTATTATTTAAGTCAGAAATGTCCTACAGAGTTAATAACAACATTTAAATTAATTTCACAAGCAACATGCTGTCATGGTAATCATTTACTCTCGGTATTTATTGTAAAGAAATTTAGCAATTCCTCTCTGCATCTCAGAGAAAACCTTCTGTAAAAGACCTATGTGTGTTTTGATGTACTACTACTGTTTGAGCAAGACCATCAGAACAGGGGGTGTCAATTGGGTTTGGTGGTACCCTCTTTAAAAACAAACACCTGAAAATATCATTTTTAAAACAGAATGAAATTATTATTCATCTGTTCAAAATAATGCTGCTAGATTTTGCTTATTAATAATGATATAAAAGAATTACTTGATGAATGCACCAGAACCTACCAAAATTGTACCCATTAAAAAAAAATTCTTGCTCAGAGGGAGAACTCTCCAAGACTTACCCCACACCCTATTTCCAGATACCTGGCTACAGCTCTGTTGATGAAAACTAAGCATGCTAAGCATGCGAGTTGGACAGGGTTGCAGATAACATAATTGGTAAAGACATGCTCTATTGAATTTCTGTCAGACACATTTCTTTTCTTGTGAATCTGAATTTATGTAACATTTGATGTGTATACCTGGATATATAGGGTAAGAAAAAGAATTAAATTATTATAAGAAGAAGATGAAAAGAAAAAAATGGAAAAAAAAGCTGTTTTGAAAAAAAAAGAGGTCACATAAGAATTTAGTGAAAATTCATCACAAGATGAAATTTTGATACATTGTCTTGATTGTATTGCCCTATCTACTTCTTGCCTTGATTTATTTTTTTAAGCTAAACAAACATGAACAAATGTACAAGTATGACAATGTTATTGACCTATATACAGAACCACTGTGTGCCAGAGCATACATGTAGAAGGGTTGTCAGTTAAAATCGTGGACAGTGCTTTTTTATTGCAAAATAATGTACTGAAATTTTCAGCAAATGTTTATTTATATATATTTATTTATTATATATATTATATATATTTACATATATTTGAGTATATTTTATTTTTTTAATTTTATTATTATTTTTTGGGGTATAAAATATAAGCAATTATAAGGATATTTATTATTATTCATGAATGTGCATTGGATATGGTCCTATGGGGCATGATCCAAAAATCTGGGTTTGAACAGAAACACATGAGCAGGGCTTTTAATAATTTTTGAAGTGAATAAGTGAATGAATTCATTAGACATGTTAGAAGAGACTGTTTTAGAATTATTTCCAATACATGTAGTTTAAAAACTGAAGCATCGAATTCTGAAATTATTATGATGAAAAATTGCCTTCTGCCACCCCTTATTGAAAGCCATCGGGATACGCAAGTATTATTTAGAAATAAAAGTATGAAATAAATAAGGTTTGGGTAAAAATTGTCATATTTTTATATCTATCTATTCTGTCATCTTTTAGAAAATTTCAAGGCACTTGTTTAATTTTTAGCATTTTTACAGAGCATTTGAAATGAGAAAGTGGTAAACACAACACATAAATAATGGAGACGCAACATTGCTTTGGACACTTTGACATCATCATCTGTGTGCCATATGGCGATACCACATATATAACATAAAATCTCATATTCTGTTTATTTGAGCATATATCTCTTTGAAATTTGCTAGGTATATTGAAGAAAAATCATTTTATGTACTTAAGAGTAGCGAAAATTTTAGCACACAGAGTTGGTTATTTTTCAGGGCTGGAAATAATTATTTTTTTTTCACTGGTCACTCGGGCTATTAACTTAAAATTTTACTGGTCAATTGATAACTTTCACTGTCCCATTTAACTAGCCCGACTGTGAATTAATTTTGATATGCATAAAATAATGACTGGCCCCAAGGACGTCATGTGCTTTCTACAAAGCACTAGCCCAAATCCAAAATTTACTGGCCCCCGACCAGCGGGCCATCAATTATTTTGAGCCCTGTTTTTCACTCTAGACAACGTGTCCATGATTTTACCAGACAACCCCTGTTCTTAAGCATGTTAGAAAAAGTTCATTACATCATCATGATCAAGATGAAAATTTTTACTTACCATTATTTCTTCCTTTAAGTTGCACCCATGCAAATTCAGAAAACTATGCACTGAGTTGTTAAATGCATGTACCGGTAGATTTCTTTGTTTGCCTTTTAAACATGTTAAAACAATTTTACTTCTACATTGTAAGTGTATATACAACATGTATTTATTTTTTGTTTCTAGTGGGAGGCATATATACTGTGATCAAATCTAAGGCCCCAGTCAGTGTAGGAGAGCTGGGAGAGCAGTACTGTTTACTGGGCCCCTATAACGAGGCTTGTGTCAGGACTGAGGTGGAGATCCTGGAACCTTCTCACTATGTGTATAGACAGACATTACAGGCAATGAGGGATGCCGGTATCAAGGTATATACTACTGGTAGTGACAAACAGATAACTATGGCTACATCATGTACATTCAGGCAGGCAATGCAGCTGGGAGGGATGTGATATCATTTGAGTTTGGAATATTAATTTGATAATTACAAAGCCACAAATAGTCAAAGTAGTTTCGTAAGCATGACACACTGTAATATTTTATAAGGTTTTTCCAAATTAATTAGGTGCAAAGGTTTTTTCATATATGGATAAGAAAGGCTACAATTCAGTCTAATAACAAGGATTCTAATAAAATTTTGGCTGATGTATACACTCTAACAATGGCCTTTGACACACTTTAGGTTAGGATGAGGTACACTTTTTATTATGTTTAATATGTCTCTGAAGGAGGAAGGCAGGACAGGTGAGCATTACTGGCTTTGATTGTTTATTCCTCTTCACAGTAATTTGGAAGTATTTTCTTTACATGAGAAAAAATATGTTCCAGAGGGGGGTTAAAAATGTGTTTTATGTGCATTTTAATGTGTTTTATGAGTTTGATTTTCTCTCAGATACCAGATTTATCTGTTAAATAAGATTATTCTGTATCTGCTCTGTCCTTTTAAATCAACAGAAGATAAATAAAAGACTTCACTCACAGCAAAATTCTAAACAGAACACTTCATATATGTGCAAACCCTACATCAAATCGGTAGACTTCACTGACGGAGCCGTATTAAAATAGAAACTCAGAAACAAGGTGTATATTGGTATTTCTGCATTATGCAATTGAACATCAAGAGTAATAGTGCTGCATGTTTAGGTATTCTTTATACATAAAAAAGGTATAAATTGAACTGTAAAACTAGAGATTTATTGTTCATAGTATATCAGTGATTCGGAACAGTGAGTAGCTGTAGGAATATATCAAGCAAATTTCAGGAAACTATTAGTCCAGTCAGCATCAGCAAGACCTATTGAGAGCCTATATACACTGCACACTAAAGTACTGATTTTGTGGTATTTTTATGCAGATACAGTAATCTGCCCTTTGATCTAGAATATAATAAATTGAAATTTACAGTTTCTTACTTAATTTGTGATCAAATCAAGCATTCGTAACATTTTAGTAGGCCAAGATGAATAGATTGAATACTTCATTTGCAGTTTTTTTTCGCCCACTTAAATGTAGAAATTTAGGCTAGACTCTGGATATTGATTTGGGTAACTCAGTGGTTAGAGCACTTGACCAGTAATGCAGGGGTCCAGGGTTCCATTCCTGGTCCAACCATATGTTTTTCATTATATATATGAATTTTCAGTGTTAACTCACTTCTCCTTTCCATACTATAGACTGTGCCATGGTTCAGGCATTATTGTAAAAAATTAATGCTAAGTCTTGACATTTAGGTGAACTTGTGTTGTGTCTTTGGGGGCAAAGACTATTTAAGGAGGGAGGAATGTAGTAATTTAGACTGGACTGTGGAAATCGGCCTGGGTAGCTCAGTGGTTAGAGCACCTGACTAGTAATGTAGGGGTTCTGGGTTCAATTCCTTGTCCAGACATATGTTTTTCATTATACATGTATATGTATTTATGAATTGTCAATGTATGTTAACTCATTTCTCCTTTCCATACTTCATAAGTAAAAAGTGATTTCTGTTCAACAGTACTTCATTGTCTTTGAACATTTTTCCAAGGGGTAAATGTAAGGTACCCTAGCTATGTTGAAAATGTAATAGATAAGCTCTACACACTATAATTTTCTCAGTGTTCAAAAAATCTTTTCCTTAAGTGTATAGAGGGTGCTTAAAACAAGCACCAAAAAAGTACCAATGACTGTCCAGAAGACCAACTTGAACATCAAACAGTCCAGGGCTCTCAAACCATTGGGATTGGGGCCAGGTCCATAAAAATTTGGAAAATCAGCTGTCTTTCAGGGAATTTTGGGATAATCATCATACATTAAAATCATTATATGTTGGGTTTCTGGTGTTTGTTATCTAAATTTCTGTTTTGCAATACAGAGGAATATGAATAGCTAGTTAAATACTATGTTCTTTAATTTTGGGGGAAATGACTTTTGGGAAAATAAACAAATTCAATTGTCTGTAAATGGGCAATCAAATTTTTACATTGGAATATTATATAGGAAGAATCTTTAAAATTCTTCTTTTCAAGAACAGCAAAGCCAGTGACATAGTCATATTTATATGGAAGTAATCCCAGGTAGTTTAGATTTAAGTTTGTTCCAACATGACTCAAGGAGGTAGGGTGGGGCCACAATATGTGATCAAAATGAGATAAAAGTTTTACATAGGAATATACAGAGGAAAAATATGTTGATGAAGCACAGCAAGGCCATACTGACTCCGGTGAGTGTTGTGGCCCATGGGCCTCTCATTTGAATTTGGAATGGGGCCTTTGAACAACATCAATTAAAGGCAATTGAAATTCGTGTGATCAAAATAAGGTATCTAATAAATCTTAATTTGTACTGATTTATCTTTAGCTCTGATCGGTTGAAAATGACTGACAATCCTCACAAATACTTTGTACAAATATAAACAAACAAGTGACATTCATTCCTAAAGTATCCAGAAAATAATTTAGTCATGAAACAGTTATTTTGTGCAAAAAAAGAAATCAAGCTGTAACATTTGTTGTGCATCAAATCTTGTGGTCAATAATTCAATTTAAACTGAATGCATCTCACTGCACTGCAGCCTTCAAATAAATCATCCTCAAGGGGCTCAGAAAAAACTACACAAACTCCCATCAGTTGAATTTTCCAGGCAGTAAGTTAGAGATTAATCGTGATATGTATTATTGCATCCCAGGTTCACTTTGGTCGCTGGCTGATTGATGGATATCCTAAAGTCATTCTGTTTGATATCGGCTCAGCAGCATGGAAACTTGATGAATTTAAGCATGAACTTTGGGAGAAAGCCAGCATCGGGGTTCCATGGCATGATCGTGAGTCCAATGATGCTGTGATATTCGGAGCACTGGTTGCCTGGTTTATAGGAGTGGTAAGTAGTTCATTCATGTGTTACCCGTGATTTATTTTAATGAATCAGATTGTAAATAAGAGTCTGGTTTTAATGCAATGCACAGTATATTCACTAGCTTTTAATATTGATTGATTGTTGTTTTACGTACCTTGCGAGAATTTTTCACTCAAATGAGACATCACCAGTGACAAGCTTCAAATTTAGACCTTTACTCGGCACTATAGGGCCATTGAGCAGTGAGGGTTCATAATCATGCCAAAACCTACTGTACATGTGACAAAGATTTACATTTTTAAGGTTATATCTGAAAATCATGTGACATTTCACTTTTAATGCCAGACACTTGGCAAAAGGAATAGTCACTATCTTATGTTAAACGGCTTAGGTTTGATGTAACACCAGGTACAAGAATCAAACCCAGACCTGATCACAAAGGAAACATCAAGTTACTGGGCTACCTCAAGCCGTCTTTTAATATTGATAGAAATGCAAAATGTGGATCACAATCCTCCCAATATTAAAAATAGTAGTTAAATTCATTGAAATATTTTGAAATGGAACCCTTTAGAAAGTTTTTTGTACAGTAAAACTCAGTAATAGCGAAATCCTAGGGATCTGTGAATTTACTTCCCTATATCATCTGTATAATTTGTAAAATATATGTATAGCAAATTTGTAATGTACACCTTTTCTAACTACCAAATTTAATTTCAGATATAAATACTATTGAAAAATAATATCAGTTCAATGTCTCAAATTTTGAGGACTTAAAAATTTGCTAAAAAGATGAAAATCTCAGTATAATGTATTTAATCCCTAGGTACACAAAGTCAGTTTGCTATATCAGAGTTCGTCATAACCGTTAAATTTTTCAAAGAATCGTTAAGAATTTTGCTGGGGATCCCAGGAAACTTTGCTATGTTAGTGAATTCGTATTCGTACTAAATGAGTTTTATTGTATACTTATACATTAAATATTTTTAAATTATTTTCAAGTTTCGTGCCAATCTCTCTGACAAGCCAATAGTTGTGACACATTTCCACGAGTGGCTAGCAGGGGCAGGCCTCATTTACCTCAGAACCAGAAAAGTAGATTGCACCACTATCTTTACCACCCATGCCACTCTTCTAGGGAGGTATCTGTGTGCTGGAAGCTCCGACTTCTACAATAACATTAATAAGGTAAGACAGACTAAGGGTAAGATACACTGCACTTGATGTTAAAGATTGTAAAGTGCTGCAGGACAATAAATAGAAGAATAAAACTTTTAACAATAGAATGGATTAGCTAGACAGGTTTTTAAATGTAGGTGTAAGATTTCATTGACCTATGGTATTAAAAATTTCAAATTTTTGTTGAATATTTTTCAAGTTCTATACGATAAAATCATATAAGATGACATATTCTGCAACAAGTTACATATTATAAAACTATGTTTTTCTTATAGTTTAAATTAGATAAAGAATCTGGTGATCATTAGATTAAACTTTGTGTTGTTTTGTTGTTACAGTTTAACTTGGACAAAGAAGCTGGTGATCGTCAGATTTACCACCGTTACTGTATGGAGAGGGCCGCAGTACACTGTGCTCATGTGTTTACCACTGTGTCTGAAATCACAGGAGTGGAGGCTGAGTTCTTACTAAAAAGAAAACCAGGTAGGTCAAAAGGGTCACAAGTCAAAGGGCACTGTGAACAAAAGATGTAATGGTATGGACTAGGGGGTAGGTCAGTAAGTCATATGTCAGAGGTCACTTTGTAAACAATCAATCTGGATGTTTTCCAGGTACTTGAACATGCATCTACTCAAGATGGAGTGAGGTAGATCTGCTCCATGGTATCGGAGGTCACCATGCCTTAAATTGAATACACAAGACCTAGGCATTTAATGGCTATAATACAGAACATCATAGATTAAGAACGCTCTACTCATTGCACACTGAGGAGTTCTAATTTTTTGGTAGTTTCATGCAGTTAAGAGTAATTTGCTCTTAGATCTAAAATGAAAAAATGAAATCTATATTGCATATCTCAGTTTGGAATCTATTCATGATTACTTTACATTTTAATCCTCACCTCACCTCACCTATCCTCTTCGCGCCCACTGGCACATAAGGCCCCGATACACTTCCTCCACCTGTCTCTGTCTTTGGCTGCTGCCCTCGCTGACGCCCAACTATTCCATCCCAGCTTTTGTCTTTCTTGTTCACATTTTAATAGGCCAAGTTAAATTAATTGATTAAATTTTATTTGCATGTAATTTCCCCACTCAGGTAAACAACACAATCTCTGTTCACCAATACTTGGTTGTCTTTGAACATTTTTCTAGGGGTAAAAACCAGGTACCCTTTGTTGAAAATGAAATAGATAAGTTGTGAGAGAAAGTGAGAATTTTTTTTTTAGACATTTCTTCCTTATTAGAAGGTATGTTAGTTTAAGACATTTTTTAAAGATTCAACTCTTTAAAAAATATCCGTAGTATTTGTATCATTGAACAGGCTTTAGAATGTTACCTAGAGAGAAAGTCAAATTTTCATTCATACAATTTTTGCTATAAATACATAATATGCAGTTGAACTTTGGTATCTTGAACACTGATATCTTGAATACCATGGATATGTCGAAGTGATTTTGAAGTCCCAACCACATATTCTTTAAGTATTTTACCCTTGATATTTTGAATGCTCAGATATCTCGATGTTTTTTCTTGGTCCCATGGAGTTTGAGATATTAATGAGGTTTCATTGTACGTGCATGATCAGTTGCTTTAATGAATTTTGTGTATTATAAGGTTTAATCATTGGACAACTTATTTATGACCGAGTGGTTCTTTCATTTAGATGTGATTTTACCCAATGGTTTGAATGTTGTCAAGTTCAGTGCCATCCACGAATTCCAGAATCTCCATGCCATATACAAAGAGAAAATTCATGACTTTGTCAGAGGACATTTTTACGGGTAAGGGAGACTTATTGCTTTTTAATCTGATTACATGTATTTACTTGCAAGTGCATATGACATTTTATACTTATAATTTTTTCAGACACTATGACTTTGACCTAGACAAGACGCTGTACTTTTTTTCTGCTGGGCGGTACGAATTCACCAATAAAGGAGCTGATATGTTTATTGAATCTTTAGCTCGGCTGAATTACTATCTCAAGGTAATATGATTTAACAATATGTGCTGCTGCCCTAATATAAGAATCTGTCAGTATTTGAACATAATTAAGGTGAACAGATATGAAAACAATTTCATGAGCATTTTTTAAAAAAAAGGTTCTTAAAAACTTACTGATAAATAATACATAAAATAAGACAAAACATTGCTAGAAATAGAGACAATTCAGGGCTTGCACCCCACTTTCTGGAACTGGGTCCAGGGACATAAAAATTGGGAAAATCAGTGACCTCTTGGGGAATTTGGGAAGATTATTATATATTAAAATCTTTGTATATATTGGCATTCTAGTGTTTGTTATCAAAATTTGTTTTTAAGTATACTCAGTAATATAAGTAGGAAGTTTATGTTGTATGAAATGACTACTGGGAAAATATTAACACATTCAATAGGGAAAAAATGCATATTTTTTTAATTAGGAATAGGGTACATTAAACAGCCCCAATTAGAGACAATCGAGAGCTCTGAAATAAATTGCAAACCTGTTGATTTGAACAGGATTTTGCAAATCAATTTATCACTTTGTCACTATTTTTTACTAAAGATTTAAACTTAATGCTTGATTATACAAGCAGAAAAAGTTCTACACATATTCCTTTGTATTAACAGGAAGCCAATAGTGAGATGACTGTTGTAGCATTCTTAATCTTCCCAACAAAGACCAGTAACTTCAATGTGGAGTCACTGAGAGGTCAGGCCATCTCTAAACAACTGAAGGAGACCGTCCACCATGTACAAACACAGATCGGCAAGAGAATTTTTGAACAGTGTCTCAGGTAGAGCAAGAAAAGGGAGATTACTGTGGATAAAACACCAAAAAAAAAAAAAAAATGAAACCATGTCAGAAGTTAGCAAAGTATATTGCTCAAGATATACTTTTAAGATTTCATTTATGCAAAATATCCTAATAGGGTACATTGATTTTGTTTGGATGTCCATTCCACAGGCACTTGTTTCGGTAATAAATTTTTAACCCTAGTATAATAATAACACAAGGTATCTAACTCCGAATTACACGGAGTACCCCCCCTCCCCCCACAATCGCATTCATTTACACTTTCAGAGAAAATACACTGACAAACTGTTTATACCTATGTTTTCTACGATAATTTATCTACACAACCATATATGGCATGCTTGTCTTTATTTTTTTAGTCTCCGTAAACAGCGTAAAAACTCTGCTCGCCGTGTGGAAAAGTCGAATTCAACCATGAAATGGTATGTGCTAATCCCGCACAGAGAACAAAATTAAAAAATGAGTGGGTTTAAAAATTCAATTCCAGTGTTTAAATATTGCATAAGTAAATAGAACTTGTTTACGTCTGATTTTCCCTGAAAACATTACGATGTTTATCCGATGTAATTTTAGAAACAGATTTTTAGCCAATCAAAATCTGTGAGCAGGATTAGCACATACCATTTCATGGTTGAATTCGACTTTTCCACACGGCGAGCAGAGTTTTGATGCAGTTTACGGAGACTAAAGAAAACAAGCATTCTGAGAGTATTGCATTAGCAATACTAGTCCCCTACCGGCAAGTGTAATCTGGTTCCCGTTAAGAATTGAAAATGCCATAATTCCGTCAGAAATTAATGAAGCGGGACGAAATGCAAACTTGTTCTATAACTAATCAAGCTAAAGCCACATACCAAAAATCAGCTCAATATCTACAAGCGTTTAGAAGAAAATTGCGGAAAACCCGTAAAAATTGAAAAGGCCGTAATTCCGTCAAAAATCAATGAAGCGGAACGAAATGCAAACTTGATCTGTAACTCAGCAAGATACACTCACATACCAAAAATCAGCTCAATATCTGCAAGCGTTTAGGAAAAAAGTGCGGAAAACCAAGTGGGACAGACTGACAGACAGACAGAGGGACAGACAGACAGACGGACAGACAGACAGACAGACGGACAGACGGACGGACAGACTCAGAGGAAACCTATAGTCCCCTCCGGTTTCACCGGTAGGGGACTAATAAAGACAAGCATGCCATATATGGTTGTGTAGATAAATTATCGTAGAAAACATAGGTATAAACAGTTTGTCAGTGTATTTCCTCTGAAAGTGTAAATGAGTGCGATTGTGGGGGAGGGGGGTACTCCGTGTAATTCGGAGTTAGATACCTTGTGATATTATTACATTGTATACTATGGGTTAAAAATTTATTACCGAAACAAGTGCCTGTGGTCCATTCCTACAGTTTTCAGAATAAAAAGTTTTTATAATATACAGTATCTACATTTTACAACAACTATTTCCCCTCTGGGTCAATCTTGGGTCATCTATGATAAAGTGCTGTTTTCTCTCTGAAACACTGCCAACTTTATGGGGCAGTATCTGATTTAAATAAAATCTACATGTGTATGTTCATTATGTTTTCTTTGTTCCCCATACTTTGCCAATAAAGGTATGGTATAAAATTATTAAGACAATTAAAATTCTTACAGGTAGGTTACATAGGATGTAGTGAGAAAAATGAGCATTTTCATGACAAAGGGAAATAACTCTTGCAAATTAAAATTGTCTATTCATGTCACCATAAATTCCTTTGGTAAAATGAGACTGAGATCGAAAGTAAGTTCATCTAAGTTTTATTGCGCCAGAGCCAGTTCTGTTCACAAATCAAAGAAAATCTGGTTTGCTGTCATTTACCGATTACAAATTCTTTAGTAAAAGTGCAGAATATCTTTAATAAAATCATTACCCAAAAGATAAAATGATTATATTTTAAACATATTTTTAAGTGACATTTTCTTTGTAAAATTGGAACAGTATTATGCAGCACACATTTTTTTAAATCAAAAATTATATTGACTTTTTCTTTTTTATTATTACAGGGGAAAAATTCCTTCAGGGGATGAAATTCTAGAACAAGAAGATATAGTGAAATTAAAGAGATGTATCTATTCTGCTCAGGTAAGCTTATGCTACACAATGCTATTGTCAAGTGAACAGATATTGTGGTTCAGTTTGTATATCAATGAATTTCTTGACCTATTGCTTACAGAGGAACAGCCTGCCACCTATATGTACTCATAATGTTAACGAGGATGCTAATGACCAGATTTTAAATGCCCTCAGGAAATGTCAACTTTTTAACAGGAAAGAGGATAGAGTCAAGGTGAGAAAGAAAATGATGAAAAAAAAGCTTTTTGTTTCATGTTCATCAGTGTCAGTTCATTAGAAGGTGTTATAGATCTTGGTTGCGTATAAATTCTATTTCCATTTTAACATGGTCTATACCAAGGTACATGTACCATATAATATGAATTCTTATTTACAGTGGCTGCAACGTTATTGTTGACAAACCAATTGTGTAGAATTGTTCATGTAACGTGCGTGATCGTTCGTGTAATGTGCAAGATTGTGCGTTTTTCAGACTCAATCATTTGCAGTTTTAATCATGCGTGATCGTGCGTTAAGAAACGTGTAAATTTCGTTTTGTAAGTTTTTATTGGAATGTTATTTGTTATACAAGCATTTCGCTTGTCTGTTTTTTTTAATCCAAATAAAATAAATGAAGTGCGATTTACATTATTGAAAGCAGAATGAACTAATTATCGCTTGGAAATAAGCAAATAAGTAAGTCGTACAAAATTGTGTTCTCGTCAAATAGCCTGATTTTTTGTGATAAACCATACTTAGATGTGTAAGGATTTTTCTCTGATGTTAATTATGTTTACTGCTACAAGATATTTTTTAAATCAATAGATCAAAAATAGATATTTTTACAAATAAATAAATAAACAATTCTCAATGCTTACATAAATATTTAGTTGGTGAATGTACATGTACAAGACATGATTGTTGGGGTTTCGTTTATCAGTGTTTATCTTTGGAGCTTACTTTTAATTATTTTTATAATTTTTGCAAATAAATGATTTGTAAAACAATTGTTGATTTTAGAGATTCACAAATGGAAACATGGATATAACTTAATTCATTTTCATGTCATTTTTTTTTCTTCAAACTTGTACCTTTCTGCATATTATGAAATCCAATTCAGTCAAAACTCACGGTCCACCTACATGTACATCTTCTGATAGAACGGAAAAAAAATCAGTTTTCTTAAGTCGGAGAATTACGTAAATAATTATTTGTAATCTAAAATAATAAGTCTTACATGTATTTAGTTTCAGAAATATCCATTTCTATTTTTTTTCTCATTTTTCAAAGTGGATGAAATAATATCAATGATTATTTGAAATCTAAAAGAAGTATTAAGCCTTATTTCATTTTGAAAATATGCATTCCTAAAGAATTTGAACTATTTTGTGTGAAGAATCGTGTGTTTGCATTAGCAATCGTGTAAGATTGTGTAACATGTAGAATCGTGTGCGTGAAGGATCGTTCGTGTAACAGATTTTATCGTGCGTTAATCATGCGGAATCGTTCGTGTAACGTGATCATTTTGTAAGTTGTCAACAATAAAATTGCAGCCACTGTATGCAATTGTCCAGATTTGGTAGAATATTTAGGATGAATTGAAATGATAATATAAAATTTCAGAATATTTTAAAACCCATGCAATTTGATTGGAAACACAGAAGTTGAAAGCACAAAAATTAATTTTAAATGCTATGAAACTACTAAGTATCAAATTGCAAAAATTTCATACCATATTAAACATTGTTATAGATGTACAGTTTGTATACAAGTACATTAACCATATTTAAGAATTTTATAACAGTGAAACATTCCAGAATCTGTAATGATTTAACAGGTTGTGTTTCACCCAGAGTTTCTGAATTCCACCAATCCATTGTTTGGGTTAGACTATGAGGATTTCGTTAGGGGTTGTCATTTAGGTGTGTTTGCTTCGTACTACGAGCCATGGGGATACACACCAGGTCAGTTCTGAGTTTTCATTGGTAAATAAATCAAATTGTTCTTAGTGGAATTGTTACAGATGTTAAAAAATGATCTATAACTCATGATCAATGTATGCTGAATGATATTGGTTGTGTGTTATTTTCTCCTAAATTTCAGTTTAAAATCAAAATGTTCAAATTATGTTTGTTTTTCTTTAAATTTTGGCTTTGAAGGAATTAAAGTTTCATTAATTTACTAATTATCTATCTTAATTGACAATCATGTAGATGAAGATACAGAGGTTACATCAGAGGTTTTTAGTTATTAAAGTGAATTCAAAAAATTGAAGCAATTTTATGATGTATACTTTGCAGCCTTTGCTTGATTTGACATACTATACAATCATTTATTTAGTGCAGTCAAATTTTCGTGGTTTGAAGAATAAACATTAGTTCAAGGGGATTTGATTTCATGATTGAAGAAGTGAATATGAAACTGTAGTTTGAAATTTGTGAAACTCGTATAACAGAAAAACGATAAAATCAACACCCATGAAAATTAATGACTTCACAATAAATCTGAGATGTATCAATTTAATTAATGAATCTACATGTAATTGTTCACTGTAATTATATTATTTGTTCAGACCTGTAAACTTAATATTTAATTAAGGTAAATGTCATTTGTAAATTTCTTTTGTGGCAACTTCTACAGCTGAGTGCACTGTGATGGGTATTCCCAGTATTTCCACCAATCTCTCAGGGTTCGGGTGTTTTATACAGGAACATGTCACAGATCCTAAATCCTACGGCTTGTATATAGTTGACCGTAGATTTAAAAACCCCGAGGAATCAGTCCAACAGCTTACTCAGGTAACCATGGAAACAGAAACGACGCATCTATTTATTTTTCAGCCTTTTTGTTTCTTCTTTACAGCATGCAGACTTTTGTTTTACCTTTAGTTTTGCTTATTATTTTTTTTTTATGTGTAACAAGAGGACGCTGTTGAAGGGAGCATTGATGGTTTTCTCTGCATGTATTTTTTACTACCATGCTTTATGTTACATGCCTTGTCTTTATTCTCAGATACTTGCTTTCATGATAGAAACATTGTAACTGGAAAATAAGTAGATTTATCCCACTTTGACTTTTAACATATGAAAAGTATTACATTCAATAAAAGTTGGTATGTGTCATGCTTGCAAGTATCTGTGAATAAGTCAGACCTAGTTAAGGCCCCTTACTATAGTTAAGGCCCCTTACTTCATCATTTATGAGCCCAGTGCCTATTTACCTTGTGCCCTATTTAATAACAGCGGAGTGTACCGTAATGGGGATTCCTAGTATTACAACCAACTTGTCGGGCTTTGGCTGCTTCATGGAGGACCACATAACTGACACTCAATCATACGGTATCTATGTTGTTGATCGACGTCATTCAAGTCCAGAGGAATCAGTTAACCGACTGGCTAAGGTAGACAATCTGTCCCTGTCTAGAGACACAGAAATGTGTCTGTCTTTGTAGTGTCTTTTGGAGCTTTGTTGTTGTTTTCTGTCTTTTACTCACCAGAGCCATAGCTGTACATGAGCTTTTTTTCACCAATGTTTTTCTGGTATTCGTCTGTTTGTAAATGTATTTATGTCTGTATAGTCTTTCCATCAGTGTTTCTGTTTGTTCCTTTCATATTTTCATCTTCTCCACAACCACAAATTAATTTCAGCCAGACTCAGGAAAACTATTGCTATTTGTTTATGTACAGGTACATGTATATCACATGTCACCCATATAAACTTTTAAACATTTCATGCTTCTTTTCTGAAAGGAATGAACAAATTTCAAGTAATTGTTTTATAAGAAAACAGAATTTAAAAACTATTGTTCTGTGGATAGTACATGAAAATCAAACAATACTAGTCTTAAGGAGGTTGGATCCTGTCGTCAAAAGTAATGAGAATTTTTTATCAAGTATATTTTTAGAATCTACACACGTAGCTTAATTAAAATTGAAAACAAAAAATGGGGGTCAATGCGCTTCTTTTGGCGCTACAGGGCATTTAGTTTGACCTTTTTGCACTGTAAATACATCATACACATGATTCAATTTTTAAAGTTTTCCTTCCAATATTTTTTTATTCAAATAAATTATGGGAACAAACACAGTCTTATTTCATTTTGAATAGATACATTAAAATTTGTGACAACAAAAATTTTTTAAATTACTTCGCATGTTTAATTATTTGACCTTTTTGCACTCAAAAATATCATTTTTCTGGCATTAAAAATTTTAACAAGCAATAAAATCATTTGAAAATAATGACATTTTACTGAATTTAAGTAGAATGGTTAAAAATATCTTATATATTCAGAAAATAAAATAAAAAGTGGGGGCCTGTGATGTTAATTTTTAGATAATACTAAAATAGTGCTAATTTTAAGCAAAAGTTAGGGCTATTTTTTTTCTGTATTTTCGCAATATATTTGCTGTATTTATTTAATATGATGATAAAATTCATGCTGGTTTATTTAATGTATAATTTAGGACCAGCATGAAACAGTTCATGGCACAGAATAACTCTGTGTGAAGGCTGCATGGAAAGATAGGAATCCAAACTTAACATATTTCAAATACTTCGAAAGAGAAAAAATGATCATTTTCTTCTAAAAATCCATCCGCCACAAGATGTAGTTCCTCTCTTAATGCTTTTGGTATGGAATTTAATCATGGAGTTTTAACTGAATATCGTTTAATTGGTATTGTAGAATCCAAATTTATTGTAAGAACTAAAACATTATGCAGAATTTTTTAAATATAGGTTAAGACAAAAATCTGCTCAAAAGCTCAGGAGCGAACCTCGTTAAGTAATAAGCAATCAAAAGATTGTGATTTTGCCTATTCAAAACCAGTGTTAATTAGAAGTATTACAGTTCCAAGATCCCAAAAAAACTGGAAAGGGGGAGGGGGGTTCAAACTGGAGCTTTTACTTTGTAAATCTTTTACATATGGCATCAGTACTGATTGTTGAATTTATTACCTGAGGCTAAAGTAAGGGTAACAATACAAAGCTTTGTGTATATATGAATAATACACATATGAGAGGTTTCACTAAAGTGAGCATTGTGGCCTAGCTGTGGTAGTTGGGGGGGGGGGGGCTCTTGATCTGTTCAAACCACATTCCTTTCTGTGTGCAGGAGTTAGCAAAGGGGCAGTAGGGGCGGCGGTTGCCGCCCCAATAATTTTGCCAAAAAAAAAAGAAAAAAAAAAAGAATTTTAAATGAAAAAAACATAATTACAAAATTTGTAATGGCAATATGTGTGGCCAATGGAACGGCAAGAATAACAGCAATTTGTGGTCAATGGAGCGGCAAAGTGTGAAAGCTATAGTTTACACAGACGCAAATTTGGATGTACTGTACGTGTATTACCTGTACCTGGCGTTTGTAAACAATAAGCATGGTATCCATTGTTCCACGTGCAAATTCTTCATCAGGCCCACAACCAGCAACATTTTTGGAAATTCTACTTTTGGGGGTGGGGTGGGGATTCTCTAAGTTTCTGGATTTTTTTTTCAAATGCTGGAATTTGCCTGACTTCGACATAAAAGCAATAAAAAGTTTGATGAAAGGGGAGGGGCAAGCAGAGTCTAAATGAATGAATTTTTACATATCGAACCTTAAGCAAAAAACTATTTTCAGAAAAAGTGGAGAAAATTGGCAAAAATTGGAGCCCCCCTTCCTGACACCTTCCCCCGCGTATAACTGGCCTGTTCATTGTCTAATGAATTGGTTGATCAATGTTTGGAAATATTTGATGAATCGAAGTTGTAAGCTATCAAATTAAAGCAAAATATTAAAATACTGGGTAAAAATTACTATTTCAAACAACTTCAGTTTTTAGCTAACCTGAGCTGAAAGCTCAAGTGAGCTTTTCTGATCAACCGTTTTCCGTCGTCCGTCTGTCCATCTGTCTGTCCATCCGTCTGTAAACTTTTTACATTTTCAACTTCTTCTCAAGAACCACTGGGCCAATTTTAACCAAACTTGGTACAAAGCATCCTTGGGTGAAGGGGAGTTTAACTTGTTAAAATGAAGGGCCAAGGCCACTTTAAAGGGGAGATAATCAAGAAAATACAAAAATTGGGTGGGGTCATTAAAAAATCTTCTACTCAAGAACCACTGGGCCAGAAAAGCTGAAACTTATGTGGAAGCATTCTGGGGTAGTGTAAATTCTAAATTGTTCAAATCATGACTCCCGGGGGTAGGACGGGGCCACAATAGGGAATCCAAGTTTTACATTGAAATATGTAGTAAAAATCTTTAAAAATCTTCTTCTCAAGAACCACTGGGCCAGAAAAGCTGAAACTTATGTGGAAGCATCCTTGGGTAGTGTAATTTCCAAATTGTTCAAATCATGACCCCTGGGGGTAGGGCAGGGCCACAATAGGGAATGCAAGTTTTACATTGAAATATATAGGAAAAATCTTCTTCTCAAGAACCACTGGGCCAGAAAAGCTGAAACTTGTATGGAAGCATCCTTAGGTAATGTAGTTTCTAAGTTGTTCAAATCATGACCCCCGGGGGGTAGGGTGGGGCCACAATAGGGAATCCAAGTTTTACATTGAAATATGTAGGAAATTTTTTTAAAAATCTTCTTCTCAAGAACCACTGGGCCAGAAAAGCTGAAACTTATGTGGAAGCATGCTTGGGTAGTGTAAATTCTAAATTGTTCAAATCATGACCCCCGGGGGTAGGGCGGGGCCACAATAGGGAATGGAAGTTTTACATTGAAATATGTAGTAAAAATCTTTAAAAATCTTCTTCTCAAGAACCACTGGGCCAGAAAAGCTTAAACTTATCTTAAAGCATCCTGGGGTAGTGTAGATTCTAAATTGTTCAAATCATGATCCCCGGGGTAGGGCGGGGCCACAATAGGGAATGCAAGTTTTACATTGAAATATATAGGAAAAATCTTCTTCTCAAGAACCACTGGGCCAGGAAAGCTGAAACTTATGTGGAAGCATCCTTGGGTAGTGAAGTTTCTAAGTTGTTCAAATCATGAACCCCGGGGGGTAGGGTGGGGCCACAATAGGGAATCCAAGTTTTACATTGAAATATGTAGGAAAAATCTTTAAAAATCTTCTTCTCAAGAACCACTGGGCCAGAAAAGCTGAAACTTATGTGGAAGCATCCTGGGGTAGTGTAGATTCTAAATTGTTCAAATCATGACCCCCGGGGGTTGGGCGGGGCCACAATAGGGAATGCAAGTTTTACATTGAAATATATAGGAAAGATCTTCTTCTCAAGAACCACTGGGCCAGAAAAGCTGAAACTTATGTGGAAGCATGCTGGGGTAGTGTAAATTCAAAATTGTTCAAATCATGACCCCCGGGGGTGGGGCGGGGCTGCAATAGGGAATCCCAAGTTTTACATTGAAATATATAGGAAAAATCTTTAAAATTCTTCTTCTAAAGAACCACTGGGCCAGAAAAGCTGAAACTTATGTGGAAGCATCCTGGGGTAGTGTAGATTCTAAATTGTTCAAATCATGATCCCTGGGGGTAGGGTGGGGCCACATTAGGGAATCCAAGTTTTACATTGAAATATGCAGAAAAAATCTTTAAAAATCTTCTTCTCAAGAACCACTGGGCCAGAAAAGCTGAAACTTATGTTGAAGCATCATTGGGTAGTGTAGATTATAATTGTTCAAATCTTGACCCCTGGGGGTAGGGCGGGGCCACAATAAGTACTACACGGGGGGGGGGGGGGGGAAGCAGGAGAAAAACAGCAAGGCCAAAGTTACTCAGGTGAGCGCTGTGGCCCATGGGATCTTGTTTTTTTTTTTAATAATGCCATACATATTACTGCATGATAAAAATGGAGGGATCACCCTGGTCATTTTAATTTTCATAATTATGCATTCTTTTGGCAAGTAACAATAAATATTATACAATAAAAGAAAATTATATGTATCTTAATCTTTATCTTGTCATAAACTCTTCAAAGTTCTTTCTATGCCCTTTTGAAAAAACCAAAAAACCAAAAAAAAAAAAAAAATCAAAAAAATCAAAAAAAAAAAAAAAAAAAAAAAAAAAAAAAAAAAAAAAAAACCTAGCTCCTAGTTATTTAAAAATATTCCGGTTTCCTTTTTATTTATAGTATATGTAACTTGAAACATTTAAAACTTTTTTTTTGGTTGCGTGTTTAATTGTTCTTTATTAATCAGAAAATACCTCTAGGCTATTGACTTAATGGGAAAATATCAAGATTTTGGCAGAATTTTAGTTTTTTAGTTTATGTCACAAAAAAGTTTGTTAGGATTCCCCTTTTCGATCCAGTTAATTCGCCTCCCCAATGTCAAATACTTGCCGACACCCCTGGTGTGCTATTTAGAGTTGCAACTTGGTCTCTTAGGCCAAAATAAAAAATACCTTTGTTTCCCCTAACGCGACCGACCCAATTAAAACGCTCTGACTGGA